CATCAATCAAAGGTCAATTGTTGATCATAATGAATCATTAAGGTCAATTATTGATTGTAATCACAAGGGTAAATTATTGATCATAATAAATCAAAGGTCAATTATTGATCATTATGAATCACAAAGGTAAATTATTGATCATAATAAATCAGAGGTCAATTATTGATCATAATGATTCACAAAGGTCAATTATTGATCATAATAAATAAAAGGTCAATTATTGATCATAATGAATCACAAAGGTCAATTATTGATCATCATGAATTACAAAGGTCAATTATTGATCATAATGAATCACAAAAGTCAATTATTGAATATAATAAATCAAAGGTCAATTATTGATCATAATGAATCACAAAGGTCAATTAATGATCATAATGAATCTCAAAGGTCAATGATTGATCATAATGAATCACAAAGGTCAATTATTGATAATGATGAATTTCAAAGGTCAATTATTGATCATAATGAATCTCAATGGTCAATTATTGATCATAATAAATCAAAGGTCAATTATTGATCATAATGAATCACAAAGGTCAATTATTAATTGTAATCACAAAGGTCAATTATTAATCCTAATAAATCAAAGGTCAATTATTGATCATATTGAATCATAAAGGTCAATTATTGAATGTAATCACAAAGGTAAATAATTGATTATAATCAATCATATATGCCAGTGCTATTTATGGCCATCAAAGTAAAATTAAACAGGAATGACATGGACAGTTAATCCCTTTAACCAACATTTTATAGACTACAGTCAAACCTGGCTCAAATTTCTCAAAACAAACTGAAGATTGAACTAAGCAGCTGACAGTAACCTTTCTTGTGAGATGGTTTCACTTCCAGAATATCTAATCCTAAGTACGCAGAAATATCACCTTCATCATCAGAGGTGCCAGTTTGTTGAGTTGCTTCCCTGAGGCCAACCAGAGACCTACCATTGAGCATTTGTCACCCAGATTTGCCCCGATTGTTCTAGTGAGTGAGGGAGTGAGTGAGTTTGGTTTTACGCCGCTTTTAGCAATATTCCAGCGATATCACGGCGGGGGACACCAGAAATGGGCTTCACACATTGTACCCATGTCGGGATTCGAACCTGGGTCTTCGGCGTGACGAGCGAATGCATTAACCACTAGGCTACCCAACCGCCCCCCCGATTGTTCTAGGTTGGACAGTTTGGACGACAAACACTTTTTGAAACCCATGAGAGACACACTGAATATTCGAGGATCAGGTGATCGGATTCGATCTTGGTACATCAAGAGGATGCAACTCTGCCTTAGGCAACCGAGCCACAAACTTTCATGTTGGATACAGAATAAACAAAAGAAACTTTCATACCACAAATGAAAACAAAAACTGTGAAATGGGGTTTAAGGCCTGGATTGAATCCAAGGAGTTTAAGTGGTATGGTTTCACTGTGCCATAAAATATTCTGATTTCATAAACACACAGCGCAGTTGGACAAAATGATTGGGTTGTTTTTTGTTTTTTTCCGGAAGCCTTTTAAGGCCATTTGTTTTTTTCTTGAAATTTCAAGATACTAAGGGGGAAATTTCAAAATAAAAAGTTGAAATTTCAAGATAATAAGTTGAAATTTCAAGTAAGTATCTTGACATTTCAAGTCTTTGGAAGGCATTTAGAAGTGACACACATAAGGAAAAGAATATATGGGTGTCAACTTCTTTATTATGAGGAACACAACGTTTCGGAGTATAATTCACCTGATGCAGGAGTAAGCATAAACATTGTGTTACTCATAATAAAGAAGTTGACATCCATATATTCTCTTCCTTGACATTTCAAGTTAGTATCACAGCAAAAAATGATTCAGTAACCTTCTACTGGCATTAAAAAACGTTGATAGATGTATTCTTTTCATTGAACATTTATCTTGACTTGATGCAAGGTGTAGTGAAATGAGCTTTAACATTGCATTCAAGATTATTGCACTCACATAGCGATGTGCAGCACCGTTGGTGGTGCTTGTACCAGTCCAGACTGACGCCAATTTTTTTAGTGCTAGCCTACTGAGACACCATGCCGCTGTTGTACATGAATACCCCACTCAGACACAGTATACTGACTCCGAGGTTACAGTCCTTGTTTTAGCCCCTTAATATTAAGCCGAGCGCCAGGAAGGGTAACAACAAGTACCATCTTTTTTACGCCTTTTGGTATGATGGAGCCGAAGATCGAACCACCGACCTTCACACTCAAGGCAGACACTCTATCCACAACATCTGATGACAAACAAACAATGAAACATGTGTGGCAAAAAAGAATGATTTGTACATACTGCTTCTTCACAAAATTTATGAGTGAGTGAGTGAGTGAGTTGGTTTTAACGCCACTTTTAACAGTATTACAGTTAAATCGCAGCGTTTCAGCTTAATGTGGGAGGAAAGCCCGAAGTGATGCAGGTCTCAAACGTTTATCACTTCGGTGAAACCCACGAGCATGGGTTTGGTGCTGACAAACCTAGAAACATAATCGGGGCGAACCGGGATTCGAACCCACAATCATAGGTTTCTGGCATGCCAAAAGGACGCAACTCTGCACAGCGAATCGCGGCGCCTTTGACGAAAAAGTTGGGGATCATATATATTTTGAGGAATTTTTGTAATGAAGACTGAGCACACAATTTACTAAACATAAAAATATCCCCCAAAATATTCATGATCCCTAAGTATTTATGACAGCAGTTTGTAAATAATTGAGTGAGGACTAGACAAACATTGTGAGGAACATCCCACACAGAAGGGGCGAGATGAGCCATGTTACCGAGCCGGATCACCCAAACCATTCAGTTATTTACCGTATTTGACGTAATAAGCACCCAGGGCGCTCTCACAATTAGCAATAGGGGGCTCCTATTAGAATAGTAATGTTTTAAGCCTGAAATGTGTATATACGACAGATATATTTTTCCAGAATTTAATTGACCATAATTAAGGGTGCATATAACATGAATATTATACACGAATAACTAAATCTTGTGTACATTGATCAATCAGAAGGGGTGCTAATTGGGATTGTTCACTAGCCAATATATTAACAAATATCGCCGTGGGCGCTTTTTAGAGCGGGGCACTTATTACGTCGAATACGGCGTACCTCTTACGACCAGCACAGGTGACGTATTCTAACCCTTAAATCCCTAAGTGGGTAAGGTTGGCTGACCTGTAGAAATATAATAATAAAAAAAGTAATAATGTGCATATTTTAATGCACCAAAATCCTCACCCTAAAGCATGCTCAAAGCGATACATTACTACTTCAGTCAATGGATCAGTGGCACTAGATTGTCATTCTCAGCTCCCTGGGGAGTATACAACCCAAGCTGCCCGTTTGCCTACCATTATGATATGATGCACCCACATGCTAAACGTATCACATAACAATGCATAGCAGTGTGAACGAAAGATCAGAAAACACATCATTAAAAAGTGTATTTGTTTATAATACTACGTGGCATAAAAGCATGTGTGAAAACATCTCTGTTCTTAATATACATATATTACAAACATTTACAAACAGAAACCAACAAATGTTATAAGGAATCAATAAATTATCTCCATGGAAAACCACACAAAGCAGGAATAGTCATTAAAAGAATTATTTTCAACAAATAAAATGACCAGATGTGCGTTGTCATGGAAACAAGAAATGTAATTCATCACCATGGAAACTTATACTGCAAGTTCATGGTTTCCATGAAATCGCAGTACATAAGGGACCGGTCATTTATAATAGGGGTGAGTGGGTGAGAAGGATAGGGGGGGGGGGGATAAAATATAAAGTGCTTTTACATTTTGTCCTTTGTACGGGGACTTACGGAGGGTCATCCATAAATATAAGAATTAGGGGAGGGTCATTATTTTCAGTACATCGGTGCATCAAAAACCTCGACCCACCCCCTCTGTAATAAATGACTGGTCCCTAACTTGACCATTCCTGTTTAAAGTCAGTGACCAGGTTAGCTAAGAGAAACTGTCATTCCAAACACTAAATCCAGATACGTGACTAAACAAGCTAAAACATGACTAAACAGAAAAAACATGGCCATCTTATTCTTGTTACCATGGCAACAATGGACGCAGAGAAGGGGATGAGGTTGGAAGCACCAATAGATGACAAGCAGCGACTGACACTAAGAAACTGGCAAATGTATTTCAGTGATAGCTACATAACAAAAGAATCTCAAAAACAGGCTTTGTGAACATGAACCCGCCCGTTTGTGAGGATTCATGTCTGATTGGGTATTTGTTGTTTTCTGACACACTCAGCATTATTGTGGCTAAATCATACTAAATACATTTTATTGCCCAAAAAAACCAAAGGGATCGGGCCCAAGTGTACACTTATTACTGTCTTCTCCTTGGCTATGTCTTCTCCAGATAGATGAGGCTGTGTTCTTCAAGTGAGTGAGTGAGTGAGTTGGGTTTAACGCCGCTTTTAACAGTATTCCAGTTATATCGCGGCGTGTCAGATTAATGTGGGAGGAAAGCCCAAAGTGATGCAGGTCTCACACGTTTACCACTTCGGTGCAACCCATGAGCACGGGTCTGGTGCTGACAAACCTAGAAACATAATCAGGGCGAACCGGGATTCGAACCCACAATCATAGGTTTCTGGCGTGCCCAAGGGACGCAACTCTGCACAGCGAATTGTGGCGCCTTAGACGACTGGGCCCCCCGTGCCCCCCGTGTTCTTCAAGACATTTAGCAATACCTTATTCACTGTAATTGCTGCTTTCAGACATCTGATTCAGTGACTGGTTCAATCTATGCCTCTGTACACTGCTTGTCCCTGTGGCCAAGATTGTGCCGATGTGATGCCATATTTCAACTTAATCGGCTTGAAATATACTGATATAAATTAATATGGGAACACTCATTTTTAGACACAGTAAAATGATATGCTGTCATGTGTTCCCAGCCTTCTCTAACAAATACATGTTGGAAACAATGCACACAAACACATCTCAACATTTGATTCTGTTGAATTTGTATGCAAACTCTACTGACAGTAACGCTTATTTACCTATTTTTTTTCATTGTTTATTTGTTTCCATCAGTATATCTTAGTAACACCCAATGTCTTCACTTGCCCTGGACATCTAAAATGCTCTTTTCTCATTATACCTCTGTCACCATGGTAACAGAAGCTAAGCTTTTATTGAAAAAATTTCAGATCAGATCAACAGTTGCATTGCTTTTTCTTGCTGATAAAATCAATGAAATGATGTTGATGAATGATAAAAAACAGTGACCCATAAAACAGTGAATGATAAAACAGCCAATGATATGAGCAGCTCTTTGATCACACAACCATCCCAGATAGAATGTCAGCCATTGTGTCGCAGTAGAAACGAGTGACGTCATTCGGAGGTTCTTCAAACTTCCGACAGTAACATTCCAGCACTTCCAGGAGAGTACACCGTATCCTTGGTGACGTGCTGTAACAAAAAGCAAATTCATCTCGGTTTGACTGTTGGCGCCATCTTACCCCCCCCCGCGTGGTTTGCTGCTTGATGTTTTTGTGAGGCACATGGTGCTCTGGACCCCCAATCAAGATCTGCCTATGTGACATTAAACAATTATGATGACATCATGCTATTGTTGTTGCAGTGAATTCAGAGCCAGGATTTCATTGTCCTTTCTGAACTCGCATTTTAAGCAAGCAAAACTAACGACACTATAGGTCAATATGCAAACTTATAGAGAAATTTTATATCAGCCACAGCATGGTACACAAAGCCATCTTAGCGCTACGACCATCACAAATCGATAGGATAATGAAAGCTTTTGCTCAAGTCTGGACCTAACAATCCAGTGATTGAAATCATGAGCATCGATCTTCACAAATGGGTATGATGACATGCATCAACCAAATCAGTGAGTCTGACCACCCAATCCCGTTAGTCGTCTCTAACGACAAGCATGGGTTGCTGAAGACCTATTCTAATTGGATCTTCACAGGGGAAAATTGGTTGGAACAGTTATGAACATTAGACCTCCCAGTCGTCTAAGGCACTTCAATTTGCTGAGCAGGGTTGCGTCCCTTGGGCTCGCCAGAAACCTATGATTGTGGGTTCGAATCCCGGTTCGCCCCGATTATGTTTCTAGGTTTGTCAGCACCATAAACATTTGAGACATCTAAGACCTGCATCACTTCCGGCTTTCCTCCGACGTTAAGCTGACATGCCGTGATATAACTGGAATACTGTTAAAAGCGGTGTTAAACCCAACTCCCTCAATCACTCATTGTTCAACTGTTGGATTACTGACTCGCTAATGTTCCCTCACCTATTATTGACTATCTTTGTCCTGATTTTTTCCATCAGTTTTCCGAGTCTTTCACTGCCGACGTCCTCCAGTTCCTTGCCAACAGCTTGCAACTGCAGAAATAATCAAGATTTACACAAAGTGTTGACACCGGTTATAAATTTTTTATTTTTTTAAAATAAATACTTACATGTCAACAACAACAAATAATTGTTTATTCAAACATTCACACAATTATTTTTTTTTAATTTCGCATTTTTTCTAAACTCAGAGGTATGGGAGGTACAGGGATTACCGTGGATTCAAACAGGAAAATATTTCTTTAATTTGTTGAATTTTATTTTATAAGTTCTCACTTTTCTAAAATCAGACATATATTAAATTTGAATTTTAACATTACATACAATGCAGCACTGCAAATCTGAACATTAAAGACTCTTCATGCTGTCATCTTCATCCGGACTGATGGTCTTGACGTATATGTCACCTCAACAGAGTTGTCATATACCGGTAAGTACATTAACAGGATTTAGTCATTCCGATTTGGGCATCTGCCCCAGTCTTATTGCCCATATATCATCTGTGATGCAAATCTATAAACCCCTGTCATTATAAGTTGTGGCAGGATCACGAGGGGTACAAAGTGTTTTATGCATCCCACGTTTTATACCACGTGGTTTTATACTACAAGCCGGAGGTTTTATGCGTCCCGCGTTAGGTTTTATACCATGAGCCGGAGGATTAATGCATCCCACGTTTGGCTTTATACCACGAGCTGGAGGTTTTATGCATCCCCCGTTAGGTTTTATACCACAAGCCGGAGGTTTTATGTATCCTGCGTTAGGTTTTATACCACAAGCCGGAGGTTTTATGCATCCTGCGTTAGGTTTTATACTACAAGCCGGAGGTTTTATGCGTCCCGCGTTTGGTTTTATACCATGAGCCGGAGGTTTTATGCGTCCCGCGTTAGGTTTTATACTACAAGCCGGAGGTTTTATGCGTCCCGCGTTAGGTTTTATACCACAAGCCAGAGGTTTTATGAGTCCCACGTTAGGTTTTATACCATAAGCCAGAGGTTTTATGCGTCCCACGTTTGGCTTTATACCACGAGACGGAGGTTTAATGCATCCCGTGTTAGGTTTTATACCATAAGCCAGAGGTTTTATGCGTCCCACGTTTGGCTTTATACCACGAGACGGAGGTTTAATGCGTCCCGTGTTAGGTTTTATACCATAAGCCAGAGGTTTTATGCGTCCCACGTTTGGCTTTATACCACGAGACGGAGGTTTAATGCGTCCCGTGTTAGGTTTTATACCATAAGCCAGAGGTTTTATGCGTCCCACGTTTGGCTTTATACCACGAGACGGAGGTTTAATGCGTCCCGTGTTAGGTTTTATCCCATAAGCCAGAGGTTTTATGCGTCCCACGTTTGGCTTTATACCACGAGACGGAGGTTTAATGCGTCCCGTGTTAGGTTTTATACCATAAGCCAGAGGTTTTATGCGTCCCACGTTTGGCTTTATACCACGAGACGGAGGTTTAATGCGTCCCGTGTTAGGTTTTATACCATAAGCCAGAGGTTTTATGCGTCCCATGTTCGGTTTTATACCACGAGATGGAGGTTGGTGATAGAAAACAGGTGTTCGATTATGCTGAGGTTAACTTGCACTATGTCACGTGACTTTCATTGACTCGGAAAAAGCATGCAGCTCTTTGCTTTGAAGCGGGGTACAAGGGATTTATTCTGTCTCTCAGGTATCCATGTGTAGCCTGATTTGCTTGTGGCGGAGTATTAGAGATTTATTCCCCCGCTGAGAAATTTAATCCCCTCCAAGGCAGGTTACACAGTATTTCATCACGTGGACCAATCAGATCTCATTATTCTGACATGGAGGTATGATAAAGATAGATGTATATAAACGTGTAGCACACCTGCAGTGCAAGGAATTCACACTCGTCCGCTGTGGTGTCCGTCTCCTGCTCCAAGATGAGCTCCATACTCTCACAGATGGGGCTGACCAGCGGCTTGAACAGCTCCCCCGCCGCCGTCCGCATGTGGCCGAAAACCTGGCACAGTGTGGCCAGGAAACCCAGGAATCTCACCGACGAAGTCTTTCTGATCTCTTCTTTATCTGTCACGATACAGGGATTCAGATTCACAAACCTCCTGGTATCAAGGCAACTATGAATGTGTGTCGAAGAAATTTGTTTTTTATGGCTAAAAAAAATAATAGTCTTGGTTCTCAGGCACCGCCCGCATCATCATAAAGTTCCCTGAACCTTTCATTTTATTTCCATTCAAAAAAAAAAATCCTTAAATATTCATACGGTCAAGTATTTAACTCAAGGAATACATTCAGGCAGGGAGGCCTTTTTCCCAGGTTGATGGTACACAACTGTTTATTTGGTCATGTTGGTAACATACTAGTTTGAACAACACCCAAATACAAAACAGACACCCCCCGCCCTCACTATATTTTCCAAAAACCATTGCCTGAGAACCAATTCTTTTATTTTTTTAAGATTAACGCAGCATCCTGCAAAAACCAGTTACCGTTTTCGACGTAATAAGCGCCCAGGGCGCTCTCAAAATTAGAAATAGGGGGCTCTTATTAGAATATTATTTTGGTGAATAAAACAGAGTTGAAATATTATTAATTTCGTGGTTTATGCTAACAGCCTGAAATGTTTATATACGACAGATATAATTTTCAAGAATTTTATTGCCCACAATTAAGGGTGCATATAACACACGAGTGCGTATTATACATGAATAAATAAGTCTTGTGTACATTGATCCATCGGGAGAGTGCTAATTGGGATTGTTCACTAGCCAATATATTAGCAAATATCGCTGTGGGCGCTTATTCATGTTATTAGAGCGGGCTGCTTATTACGTCGAATACGGTATATGACTGCAGTCTGTAAATTGAATCTGGACCAGATAATCCAGTGGATGACAACATGAGCATTGATCCGTGCCAGTGACAAGTCGAATTGAGATAATCAAATTCAAATTTAAGCAAATGTTACCTGTGTATGTATATATGTATATATGTATATATGTATATAATGTATCTATTACATGTGCATTTTGACCACAGCGCCATTCAACAAAATGGTGAACGAAGTTGTCAGAAATGTGAAGAGGGTGCATGTGTCCATGTCAGACTTAAAACAGAGAACAAGATCAAAGAACCACAGACAACACACACTGACTTTTATGAAATATGAGGAAGGAACCACAATTTTAAAGACCCATGTTTATAACAAATTACAGATGAAAGAACACATGCATTATAGTGTGGTATGTATTTGTAATACATTGTTCAATATTGCAATAAAATGCAGTACGAAGTCAGTCCAATACCCGTCACTACCAAATTGCCACTAGTCCTGTAGTGCTTGCCAAACTGCCCAGTAGTTAAGGTATCATAAGGAGCAGTAGAAATTTGACATTTCTATGGGTTTTGTACGGAAGCCTTTTAGGGCCATTTGTTTTTTTTTGTTTTTTTTCGATACTTTCTTGAAATTTCAAGATATAGAAGTTGAAATTTCAAGATACTAAGTTGAAATTTCAAGATACAGAAGTTGAAATTTCTAGATACTATCTTGAAATTTCAAGAAAATAAGTTGAAATTTATAACTACTATCTTGAAATTTCAAGAAAATAAGTTGAAATTTCAAGATACAGAAGTTGAAATTTCAAGATACAGAATTTGAAATTTCAAGATACTAAGTTGAAATTTCAAGATAGTATCAACTTCGGTATCTTGAAATTTCAAGATAATATCTTGAAATTTCAGCTTAGTTTCTTTAAAATTCAACTTAGTTTCTTGAAATTTCAACTTAGTATCTTGAAATTTCAAGATAGTATCGAAAAAAAAAAGAAAAAAAAAATGGCCCTAAAAAGCTTCCGTAGTTTTGCTATATGTTATCATTATAAGGTCAAGTGGACAAAAAAGTTAGTTTCTAATGCTGAAAGTGTACCTTTAAAATCTTTCTGCAGCAGCGACAATATACAGTTCCTAAACTTGGTTCCCTCTACTTCAATCCCAGCCATATGGTGACAAATGATGGCCCCTGACTTGGCAAAATCTCGGTCTCCGAGGCACTTCTTGTAAATCATCTCGGAGACCTTCTTCAAGTCCTCCCCACTCCTGGCGGCGTCGGATGCCAGTTGGTTGATGTTCTGGAGATCCGATTCATCTGCATCAAGCTGCAGACTACGCAGTGCTTCCTCTACGTCGCTGAGTGTCGCTGCGGACGATGATGGTGAGGGGGCAGGCGACGGTGACTTGGCGTTGTGGTTTTCATTGTGCTCTTTGTTCTTCTCCTCTTCTGCACTGCGGAGCTGGAACATAATTGTAGCACATAGGAACATTGGGGGGGGGGGGACAGCCATGTCAACAGTCCACGACTTTATCCAGGACCACCTCCTTGGTATAGTGGTAGAGCATCTGCCAAGAGAGCAGAAGGTCTGGGGTTCAATCCCCGGGCGCGTCATACCAAAGGATGTTAAAAGATGGTACTTGTTGTTACCCTGTCTGGAGCATTAAGGGACAAAAACAAGGATTAGTCGGCTCGGAGTCAGTATACTGTGTCTGTTTGGGATATTCATGTTTAACTGTGGCATGGTATCTCAGTAAGCTAGCACTATAAATCAGCATTAGTCAGGACTAGTACAAGGAATCTACAAAAAGATTTGTTAAACAAAAATATTCGAAAAGAAACACTCACATGACCAAGTTTGACAAGCAGAGCCTGCAACAGAGAACAATGCATTAACATAGTGAGGGAGACAGTTGACCATCGCAGAATATATAAACAATTGGGTAGCTTAGCATCTGATTTCAAACTCATTAAAATCAGATCTTAGTTCTTGCTGTCGCTAAACAAAGATCTGAGGACATCCCATTACGGGTAACCTCAGAATGACCTTACATCCGACCAATCAAAGCGTCGCTTACCAGATCATGAAAGTGACAGTCGGAATGTGTTTTCTAATCATACAATCTCGAAAACATTAAAACGGGCTATTCCGAACGACAGTTACGGCCTGTACGACTGATTCCGTCAAAATTATCGTCTATCTCTCGCTCCCGTTGGATAAACATTTGAATGGAGGAGACCTTGCACAGTACGTGGGAAGCACTGCCATACAATCGCAACCATGTATTAGACATTCAAGAATGTTCGTTTGTTCAGTTTTCAAAATTTTAATCGAGAACTGTGTCAACATATTTTTCAAGCGTAGTCACAATGGATGTCGTCAGGTTGAAACGAGAAAGCTGCTTTCTAATTGGCTGATGTCGACTTCTTGTTAGTCGTTTCAGTGGTCGGTCAAAGTTCACAAAAGGTAATGGGATGTCCTCAGATCTTTGTTTAGAGGCAGCTAGAACTTAGATCTGATGTGATTGCATCTGATTTATAATTATAATGTTCTCAGCGCCAATATAATATACTGTAAATCGTGAAATTAATGCATCTCCAAAAGAATGCGACCGCTGGCTACTAGCCAAAAATGCGTCTCAATATGAACGCGACACCCCCACCTCTGAAGCATCAGTGGATTTATATTTAAAGAAAATGTCCTCTGTCAGGTTTACAGGAGAATCTTAATCCAACCTTACATTAATCCAATCACACACCAAATAGCATCGCATTAGCACTGAGTAGAGTACTCCCGCTAAAACAATACATGTTGTCGGCCTTTGACCATTCGTCACCACTCGCCCCTTTCCGTAACCTGCAAGAAGACTCGTCCCCCTATCAATGAATGTTATGTGCAAAAATATGACAAACCAATCATAATGCGCGCATGACTTTAAGTTCTTTGGTCAAAGAATCCCTCAAGATTATGTTTTTATTTACATATGTCTTGCATCTAAAAATATACACAATATACTGTAGTATATATTCTGTAGTAACAAATTCATAAATCGAAAAAATAATATATGTATATTAGTTCACATTTATAATCATCTAAGCCACTTGAATGACGAAAAACAAAATAAAAAATATATGGAAAATAAAAGTGCTTTCATTAACTTGCGCTTGCTATGAAATGCACAGCCGCAGGCTATATTTAGTAAACAAATATTAAAAACTCTCAACATCGCTTGGCCCTATTCAATGACATTGCGTGTAGAGATGACAGATCACTGGGAGGAGCTTATGCTCTCTCGATGACACCTGACGTCACAGGGCATTGTTTCGCTGCAATCTCATTAAACATGTTAAAATCAGATCTAAGTTCTAGCTGCCGCTAAACAAAGATCTGAGGACATCCCATTACGGGTCACGTCAGAACGACCTTTCGCGAACTTTGACCGATCACTGAAATGACCAACAAGAAGTCGACATCAGCCAACTAGAAAGCAGCTTCTTCAAGCTTTGACCACGTGACCCGTAATGGATCTTTGATCCTCGGAACTAAGATCTGATTTTAATGAGATTGTGTTTCGCTGGTGAGACTGGCAACAAAATACTACAAATCACATCAGAGGGTATTGTGACACGTCTGAAAAGTTTGTGGTACTGTATTCTAAATGTAGGCCAAAACAAGCTATGCCAATCCACACAATATTGCTCTGCAATGTGGTGACGTCCTGATAATTTTTAATCCTCATGAGAACTGAGTTCAAGTTCTGCCACTATCAGTGTGGAAGTGACAACCAAGCCTAGCTTAATTGTGATTTTAAACTCATTTATAACGTTTCTTTCCGATTTAGTGAAATAAATATGCATGCGTTTGTTACCAGCTGATACAATAACATTACAGGTTTCATCAACACTGATGCCAATTTGGCACAACCTAACTAGAGACGGTAAGCACATTTAACCGACCTCGGCAATCACAACATATGAACGATATATGAAACACTGTTCAGTACATGCGATTAATAGGCCCAGTTTTTGGAATGATAAACAAAGGAATGATCTGATCGAAAACCGAACAACGTCCATGCCGGTAGCATGTGTCGAATGATACAATGAAGGAGACATCGATCACAGATGGAAGGTACAGAGAACACAGAGATAAAAGCTGCTGACGAAACCTGGTAATCTCCTCCTCCGGGAGTGACTGCGGTCACGTTACTAGATAACAGCCCTCTGCCCCTTCCCCTGCCTCGTCCCGCCATCTTGGAATAGCTCCACTTGTTTTAGTTTCGTATCTGCTACACTCCAAGCTCCATCCCCGTGCATGCTACCAGACAATGCTTTTTAGCTTGTCCGCGAAGACTACGGCTAATCACTGTGGAGAGCTTGCTGGTGTGCACGAATGATTTTCATTCCACAGGCACAGTTGAAAGAATGCTCTACTCGACACTCAGTCTTCCCAACATTAATAAATGTTGAATGCCGTGATATGTTTACATGGCGCTACAGAAATGTCAAAATTCGAACAAGAAAATCTACCCAAAAGACAACATTTGCATAGATCTATTTGACAAAAAAAATCAAATAAAATTAAACTTTATTCAGTACATATAGATCTATGTCCAGTTTTGATAAGATTATGTTAAAAAGATGCTCTTTGCATTTATTCATTTTCGATATTGTTCAAGATTAGTTACAAACTTTACATTTTCAAAATTCGCGAGGAAAATAAAATGCATGGCTACAACAAGATTAACATTAAAGTCCATGAAAACATTTCTTTAAAATAATGTATTTCATTTTCAAAAGAACCTTAATTTCCACTTCTGCTTTGTGTCAAGGAAACTAGACTCTGTATATAGGTTGATCTAGACTTGCCTAAGCCTTTAGTAATTAAGATATATATTGCGCAGGATTAGCTAGGCTACCACGTTCAGTTTCTAAATTGTGAGAAAAAAGGCGAAAGCGAATCAATATGGCCCTAAATGTATCTACAGTAATACTATTCAAATAGTCAAATAGTTCTCACATGAAATGGTTCTTGAAAACTGTTAATAAGAATCCATTTTGGGACTTACGGATAAATCCCTATGCCAAGCTTGTGAACAGTTGTCTTTTAACCGTTGACGTAACATATGTTAAAATATAGTTTTATTATCATATACTAGTATTTGAGCCAGACATCACTAAATCCTTATTTAAATATATTTTATAAAATGTTCGATACCCAATTTACATGACCTTATTCATCATAGACACGCAACATGTAATATCCTTGCGGTAAACGAGATACCTGCATATTGAAAAGAGAGGTGCAGCCAGTATTTGACACATTTCAAGACGGTAAGTAACTGAATAGAATATCTACCACATTCGCATATCACAACACACCATTATTTGAAATTGTTGAATTTACGCTTACAGGTATACAAGTAAACTTTAAAAAATGTTTGTATATAACTGAACCCCCACAAGTCTTCACCGAATTCCAGCAATATCACGGCGGGGGACACCATGGTTCCCATGTGTGGAATCGAACCCGGGCTTTCGGCTGGACGAGCGAACGCTTTAACCACTAGGCTACCCCACCGCCCCTCAGTTCTAGAGATGCTTAGAGCCATGGTGTCGTAATGGCCTGCTAATAGATGTTCGCATACTTATGATCCTGGGGGGCACGGGGGGCCCAGTCGTCTAAGGCGCCGCGATTCGCTGTGCAGAGTTGCGTCCCTTGGGCATGAAACGCATGATTGTGGGTTCGACCCGATTATGTTTCTAGGTTTGTCAGCACCATACCCGTGGGTTTCACCGAAGTTGTAAACGTCTGAGACCTTCATCCCTTCGGGCTTTCCTCCCACATTAAGCTGACACGCCGTGATATAACTGGAATACTGTTGAAAGCGGCGTTAAACCCAACTCACTCACTCACTTGTGATCATAGTGCGAATTCTGCACCAATGTAAGCGCTCGTAAAATCTCAAAATTGTTCTCATGAATTTGGTTATTCTGGGCTTGTCAGTTTTAGTATGAAGCCATTTTAAACAGTATTTCCATCACGACGTGTCGACGTTAACTCGGAGGAGCTAATACTAAAAAATTAATATCTATTTTATAAGATACAAGTTCCAAACAAATGTTTCTTAAATAATTATTGTTTTTTCAGCACCATACCCGTTCTTGTGGGTTTCACCAAAGTGGTCAACGTCTAGGGCCTTCACCATGTCGGGCTTTCCTTCCATAAGAAATTTAAATACTTTTGAAAGCGGCGTAGAACATAACTCACTCACTCATTCTCAAACCCTGTATCATATAAATCGTTTCTGATTTCGATGTCCATCCATAAATTATAAATAGATGATAAGCAGCCGCTTTCATGTTGGCTAACCAATACAAAGTCGGTACATCGGAGGCAAGTGCAAAATAAATAAATAATGTGAGGCATATTTTTCACTGGTGTGTTCCGAATGCATTGAGACTATTTTTAAAATTATTTTTGAAACAATGTTTCATTAATTAATTCTTTTTGTTATATTTTGTTTTACTTTTATAAGATAACGCGAGATATTATAATAATTTGAAAATGGAGACTGATCCAGACTCCACGATCACCTGTGACGTAGACAATTTTATTTTGAGAGAGTTTGCGTAATAAATATATATAATATAAATATATATATATATATATATATATATATATATATATATATATATATATATATATATATATATGTATATTTATATTATATATATTTATTACGCAAACAGGTAAACTGTTTCTTAAAGCATGTATTAAACTGTCTGGGTAGAGACATTTTATCTTTTTGTTTTATTTCTTAGTATGTTACAAATCTAAACAAACAGTATCTTGTTGTACCACGTGATCTCTTTTGCCCACGCCTCATGCGTCTAGAGGTGTACAGTGTGAACTGAAAGAGCAGTTTTCTTAACAGTGTTTAAAAATAGACAAAGATGGGGGAGCAATTTTGTGGGCCAGTGATTCATAAGAAACAATAATTATATTTCTTTTAATAAAAAACCTATGCTTTAAGTGACGCATATTTGTCAAGATGATTATGACATTGTCTCATTTTTTGTCCGACTTTTGTAGCTCCTCAATTGATGAAATAAATTTAATAACTCATTTACAATGCTTTGGTAATTTGTCCGAAGATGTGCAAGCCATTTAAAGAATGTAGGTAATCAAGTGAGAGACCAATGCCCCGATTGCGCCAACCGTGATTTTTAAAAGGTTGTCTGGACAGAAAACCCAACTCACATGTAGGTAGCAGACCGAGTGGACCCTGGAATGTTGGTGTGAGAGTGACCTCCCTTTGAATCGCACAAGGTCAGCGTGGACAAGAGAGAACGAGGACTTCAGTTTTGCAAATTGCTCTGGTAAGATACCTCTTTGCTCAAAGATAGACTATGTGTATCTTGTCAGGCAGGAACAATACTTGTTACTCACAATTTTCACTCACTCATATGTCCATAATGTTTCAAACGTAATAATATGAATCAAGATAATTTCCCTGCTGGCAATGGCCTGAGGTGGTTGAAAAATGTTTTAGCAAGTTCGCTTTTTGCTTATTGTAACGATCATGGTATATTAATAATAAGTATTCTGTGTGAAGTTGTCATTGACTGACGTGAATATTGTCAGTCCTAGACTGACATTTACCAACGTCTCGTGCTGAAAGCAGTGTATAACGATAGACGAGCACTCGCCTACCCAGAGTTCCATGCGCGGAGTGCGGGTTGACGAGCCGCCTAAAACTGGAATAGATGGACAGGATGAATGCGTGTTATAGATCTAGTACCCCAACGGCGAGAGATGTTGTTCGTAATACCAATCACTGGCTTGTCTCCCAGTCTTTTCCAGACTAGACTATTTACATACCGCCCCGTTAAGATCCGGGGTGGAATAGGTCTTCAGCAACCCATGCTTGCCGTAAAAGGCGACTAACGGGATCGGGTGGTCAGGCTCGCTGACTTAGTTGATGCATGTCATCGATCTCAATTGCGTGGATCGATGCTCATGATATTAATCACTTGATTGTCTGGTCCAGACTCGATTATTTACAGACCGCCGTCATATAACCGGAATACGCTGAGTGCGGCGTTAAACAACAAACTAACTAACTAACCAACCAACCATTATGTGCAGAGGGTAGCCATTTTTGCATGGTGGCCATTTTTGCATTGGCTGTTGTCCCTCCATATTTTCAATAGACGCTTTGGATTTGTCCAATGGAGATTCCTAATATACTCTTCCAAAAAAAAAATGAAACGCATAGGCAGATTTGTGTGAGGTAGGAAAATACATTAGATCTAATTCGAGGAACCGTACAAGGTATTGAGCAAAAATGTCATGGAGAGAACACTTGGTGATTGTAGTCATCTTAATTATCGGTACATAGGAAAAGTCTAAGGTGAAGGTCAGCTACCATCAATAACGCGTATGTCCCCCGTTGGAATCGATAGCGGCCAGACATCTCCTGCCCATAGAAGAGACGAGTATGCGAATCACATATCCTGGGGAATGGTAGCCCACTCGGCCTGCAACGCAAAAGCCAACTGTTGCAATGTCTGGGGTTGTGGTTGACGTCGGCGTCGCCGTCTATCCAATTCATCCCACAGGTGCTCTATCGGGTTCAAATCCGGGGATCTAGAGGGCCAGGGGAGAACATGAACGTTGTTGTTGTATAGACAGGCTCTTGCTCTTGATCCGTGATGTATGCGGTCGGGCGGTGTCCTGCTGGAATACACGGTTGCCGTTGGCTGCAATTGGGAGGACGTGAGGTTGGAGAATTTCGTTGATGTATTGTTGAGCCGTTAGATTGCGCTGGGCCAAATCTGTCCTGCCATGATGAGAGATCACCAGCATCATAACGCTACCCACACCAAACCTGTCCACTTCCTGTACGCAGTTTCCGGCGTAACATTCTCCCCGACGGCTGTAGACCCGTGCTCTTCCCCTCGATGGAGGAGAAATCTTGATTCGTTTCTCCATCGCAGTTGAGGCCATACCCTGTGTTGACAACACCTATGCACTATGCAGTCGTTGTTGACGATGTTGTCGACTCAATATGACGCGTCGAACAGGACGTCTTGCTCGTAGACTTGCTGCTCTTAAACGGTTTCGTACGGTCTGGTCGGAGATTCTGCGCAGTCCGGGTATTTGGGATGCGGTTGAGGTAGCTGTGGTCGTCTTTTCGCGTAGGTGGCGCAGTCGGATGTAGCGATCTTGGGCGGTGGTTACTCTTGGTCGTCCCGACCTTGGCCGATCACGTGTCGACCCATACTGGTGAAACCGATCTCATAACCGTGTGATGATGCTGGGCGCAACATCGAAAACCCTGGCTACAGCTGATCAGGATTCCCCTACCTGCAAACGGCCTTTGACGTTGTTTCTTTGCACTTCTATTAATCTTGGCATGTTATTGAACTGTCACTGTTCGATTGACGCAGATGCCAGGCAATCAAAAACCCTGCACTTTAATACCGTGCATAGTGCTGCGTGCAGCTCCATGACCCTTTTGTTAATGCAGTGGGTGCGTTTTTTCCGAATCGTACGTGTTTCCCGACTAATGGTTTGCATGTCCTTGTGATAATTTTGATCCGGGACATTTGTGACTGACACTTTTAAACCTCTTAATTTTCCACCTGTTGGTCCGTTCATTTTGCTTTTATGGCCATTGCTGGAATATTGCTAAAAGCGGCGTAAAACCATACTCACCCACTCACTGTCATATAACAACAATAATCATTTAAATAACAACAACAATAATAACCACAAGGAAAACAATAATAACCACAGCGAAAACAATAATAATCATAATCATCACAATAGCAACAACTATAATTATATTACTAATGGATATTTGTGATGCCCTTGAAGTATGTTCAATGTATGTAGGAATGTATGAATATTTTGGACACTGTTTTTGTTGTTGGTTAATATTCGTGCTTGTCAACAGTCCTTTATGCACACAAGATCTTTCGCCGTTTTACGGCTCTTTAGGTGTAATGAAAACTTAACGCACTGAGAGAATACTACACTCATTTTCGTTTGATACCATTTTTACGAAACGAGTGGATTTTGTACGAAAGCGAGGTCAGATACCATAAAAAGTTCACGAGTTTCTTAAAAATGGTATCTAACGAGAATGAGTGTGGTATTTTATTTATTACCAACATTGAATATGTATGTGTAAATACATAACAACTTTCTTTCGTGAACAGACCAAGCTGAAACCAGTTGCAAATCTGGTTGCGCATGAATATTTATATATGCCCAAATATGGGCATTGTTGACATTTCTATGCATACGCTCTATCAACATGTTCCTGCTGTTGTGTGTGCAAACATGACGTCACAAAAGCTCATCTTTTTAAAGAATTCTTCAATTTATTGCAATTCAAGCGCTCTGTTGTTATTGCACAGGACAAGGAATCTTAAAAAGTCAATTACACCCCTAATTCCCTAATATTGGACTGTTCCAGACTACGGATCATGTAAGAAACTGTTCGACATCGCGAGCACAGGATGGTCCTGAGGGACTACATTGGGGCTATCACGCGTAACTCTATCCGGCTTCTGGCGAGAAGAGGGGGCGTCAAGCGCATGTCCAAACCAGTCTATGAGGAGGTGCGAGTTGTCTTGAAGAAGTTCTTGGATAACCTTATCGCTGACGCTGTGAAGTACACCGAGCTAGCCAAGAGGAAGACGGTCACAACGATGGACGTTGTGTATGCTTTGAAGAAGCAGGGCCGTGTTCTGTACGGCTTTGGGGGTTGAGACGTGTGAAATACGTCACTCTGCTTCGGGATCCAATCCTTTTGTCGAAAAAAATGGATTCAAATCTGATTTCGGACTTTTAACTTTTTAATAGCGACTGGTGTCGAATAAATACTTTCTATTTATCATCTAACATCATTCTTCTCACTTTTTTAGTTTGTTAACAGTAGGTGAGGTGAGGTGAAATGGGGTTTAACGTCGCGTCCAAGATTATTGCACTTATATAGCGACGTGCATGCACGTGTGTGTGTGGCTGCTTATACTAGACCGGACTGATGCCGATTTATAGTGCTAGCTCACTGAGACCTTCCGCTCTCCGGGCAGACGCTCTACCACTGGACCACGGAGGCGGTCTTGTAAACAGTAATAAGCAGTGTCTTGTGTGTAAAAAGTACAGCTAACCAGGGTCACGTTGCAAGCCACGAATTGCTTAAAGTAAGCAAATTAATCGCTTTTAAAAATCTGCAACAGCTCGAAGCACTTGGGCACTCGTCAAAAAGGGCGTCGCGACTAGCGCTTCGTTGCCTTACTCAAAAGAAGAACGTAATAGAAGTGGCTTGGTGACGAGCCGATGAATTTATTACTGTTGAAGACTACTTTGAATATGTGGAGCAGACTGGGTAAGCTTGGGTGTTAGCATCTTCCCGAGGCAAGGGCGTTTACTGACTTTAAAAGTCCAGTTTTCCATCCTTGCCGAACTAGGCTGGAATTCCGGGGCTCGATCGTAGCGCCACCAGTGACTTTTTCGAGTTATGTACTTTCTATGCCCCTTCCATTGACCAATCAGATTCCAGATCTCGTAGCAGTTGCATTTGCTTCAAGCAAAATGGCGGCGCCCTGTCAAGACGATCTGATCGATAATCAGGATCTATATTGTGATAAAACGGGTCTTACATCGCGACGTGCATCAAATCACATGAGCACCTTGATTAAAAACATGAAAAGATTTGGAAAATATCTGCTGACAACGAGTTGGCGATGCACATGCTTTGCAAATCCTGCAATCGACCGATATCTGCATGGCGTACCGGACTTCGATTTCGGTGCGCGATTTTCATTGGACTATGCATAGACTCGTTAGTCCAGCCAAACTCGAACTCCTTAACACCAGCCTTGTTCGGCAAGGGCGGACTGGACTTTTATAGTCAGTTAACTCCCTTGCCTCGGGAAGATGGGGTGTCCGCTGCCTTTGCCCATTTCGCATTTGATCCAAACCAAAATTTCCTGTTCCACTGTCTAGCTCAAATTTCAGTTAAACGCAGTTTTAATTTTAGAACGAAGCAACCTCAGCCAGCGACTGGTGCGATGGCAAGAGACTGGAAGTTAGCGTAACGTTGTAATGCGACCACTGTACTTCGCTTGCACGACCTGTGAAGACCCGGGGTAGAATAGGTCATCAGCAACCAATGCTTGCTGTTAAAGGCCACCCTGCTTGTCGTAAGAGGCGACTAACGGGATCGGGTGATCAGGTTCATTGACTTGGTTCATGCATGTCATTGCCATTGCAAACATCGCTTGCAAGCGATTGGCTGTTTGCAACGCACCCCAGCTTCAGAAGCAGAAATTAGTTATGTCATTTGGTTGTGACGTCATAATTACCGATGGCGTCACAATGATCTGCAAAGCATTGAGATTCACTTTGATTGTACCGATATCTCTTGGAAGATACCGCTTGTTGTGACCCACGTGGTGACGATACAGGTGGTGAGATACAAAATCCGCCCGTTTAACGTGTGTCGTACAATGTTGACCTCGTTTTGTTCGTTTAATTGGATGACCGTGACCTCGGTCGCACCGGAACTACTTTTTCCATTCACAAATTTTCACGAGGCGTGACTTTCACAACTTCTTACTACTATGAGACAGACCGGAAGGAATGTCGTGAAATGAGAGGCATTAACAAACAATTTATTAAACCAAACAAGATCATCACACGAGCTACTATACAGACATTATACAATCGACCTATATCCATTGCCATGTACGACGACAGATATATCGTGGTTCCTATGAGAATGATGCACAGATTCGTGACTTTCAATTTCATCACATGTAAAAAGTTGGGCGTAGCGAAACCAAGCCAGTTTCAACTATTTGGATCGATATCTAGACTTGCCCACCATTTCCATTGCAAAGCCGGGATACCAGGGGTGGAGGGACGGACTGTTGAGTCAAATCGCGGCGCTGTTTGATTTTAAAGTTTTCCTACAGTTGCCCCATGGGATTGAATTAACTGCAGTGAAATAAAGATCTTGAGCGTTGCTGCCATCGTGTGTGCACACAACACAGCAGAAACATTTTGTTTGTTTTTTAACGCCGCACTCAGCAATATTCCAGCTATATGACGGCGGTCTGTAAGTAATCGAGTCTTGACCAGACAATCCAGTGATTGACATTATGAGCATCGATCTACGCATTTGGGATCGATGAAATGCATCAACCAAGTCAGCGAGCATGACCATCCGATCACGATAGTCGGCTCTGACGACAAGCATAGTCGACTTTTACGGCAAGCATGGGTTGCTGAAGACCTATTCTACCCCGGATCTTCACGGGTCGCATAGAACTGTCAACAATGCCCATGTTTGGACATACTGTATATAATATCATACTGTTCCGGAACTGGATTTGTAACGAGTTTCGGTTTAGTCTGTTTAACGAACGAAAAATGTTTGTTTTTTTACATTTATTTACATATTTAATGTGGGTAATAAATACAACACCACACTCACTCTCGTTTGATACCAATTAACGTCGCTTTAAAAGTGTAATTTTCTTGAACGTAATGTTTAAACCCCATTTCACCTCACCTCGTTTCACTTAAAAACAGTATACTTTATATTCATATATACACTGACTATATGTCCATGAGTGAGTGAGTAGGCAAATCACAACGCATGATCGGTAACTCTTCACATAGAAGAAAGAAAATTTGTCATTCGGAAGTTTCTATCCATTGATCATGGCCACACGTGTTTCTCTCAGCGACCGCCAGACACGTTCAGTTCCTTGACCTCTTGGCGTGTGTGTGAGAATTTACGTGCGCTTTCATTGGGGCTGAATTACTTGGATCATAACAATGCGAACATCTGTTTGCATGCCATTACGACATCTAGGTTCTAACCTCAATGTGAGGTGAAATTGGGTTTAACGTCGCGTCCAAGATTATTGCACTTATATAGCGACGTGCATGCACGTGTATGTGTGTGTATGTGTGTGTGTGGCTGCTTGTACTAGTCCGGACTGATGCCGATTTATAGTGCTAGCTCACTGAGATACCATGCCGCAGTTTAACATGAATACCCCACTCAGACACAGTATACTGACTCCGAGCCGACCAGTCCTTGTTTTAGCCCCTTAATGCCGAGCGCCAGACAGGGTAACAAGTACAATCTTTTAACGTCTTTTTGTATGACGCGGCCCGGGATCGAACCCTGGACCTTCCGCTCTCCGGGCGGACGCTCTACCACAAGACCACGGAGGCGGTCCCCCTGGAACTGAGGGGCGGTTGGACAGGCTAGTGCCTAAAACATTCGCTCGTCATGCGGAAGATCTGTGGTCGCTTCCACACATGGGTACAATGTGAGAAGCGCATTTCTGGTGTCCCCCGCCGTGATATTGCTGGAATATTGCTAAAACCGACGTAAAACTTGACTCAATTATTCGCGTGAACAAAAATAGTGAGTGAGTATGGTTTAACGCCGCTTTTAGCAATATTCCAGCAATATCACGGCGGGGGACACCAGAAATGGGCTTCACACATTGTACCCATGTCGGGAATCGAACCCGGGTCTTCGGCGTGACGAGCGAACGCTTTAACCACTAGGCTACCCGACCGCCCCTGAACAAAAATAAGCTTACATGTGCATTTATACACTATATGACCACTTACTTATACTTCTAAACGTCAGTATGTGTATTGGGCATTGTAATCTGAAAAACACGTGCCCTGTTACAAAAACGATCAAATCTGGCAAAAGCGATTGGCCTGAGGACTTTATCACACAGCAGGTGTATTGGTTCAGTTGGAAAGAGAATTTTTACAGTCTTTGATTTATCATAAATCTGCAGTATTTTTTGTTTGAAATGTCTAAATCTCCAGTACACTGGGTAGCTATAAGGGCTATTGTTGATAATGATTTTATCTTTGATGTTTTGTTGTTAATGCCTTCAAATGTCCACATTCAAAAAGCAAGAACCATATCGTCAGTTGTGTGCAGCTTACATGTAAGATATTGGTCATCATCAAAATATAATAACCGATAAATATTAAAAAAATATTTTTCAATTTCAGTTTGTTTTCAATTTCCAGAGCATGAAACTGCAAAGCATGAAATGTTAAAGTCGTCTTATAAATATAAAACGGCATCGCCAGAGAATAACCAGTCTCGATTATCTGCCGAAACGGTTAACATTGGGCGAAAAAGGCAAAATAGCGGTGACAATTATGTGAGTGAGTGAGTGAGTGAGTATGGTTTTACGCCGCTTTTAGCAATATCGCGGCGGGGGACACCAGAAATGGGCTTCACACATTGTATCCATGTCGGGAATCGAACCCGCGTCTTCGGCGTGACGAGCGAACGCTTTAACCACTAGGCTACCCGACCGCCCCGACAATTATATGAATGGCTCACTGAAAAAGTGATGACACCAGGTGTTCGCGAATAAAGTAAGCATGTCCTGCCCTACCGGTCGCACCCTTCGCTAAAAGTTAAAATAAAAAGTCAGTGTTTATTTGTTGCCTGACGTCTATCAGAAAACCATTGTCCTTTAGAGTGAGTGAGTATGGTTTTACGCCGCTTTTAGCAATATTCCAGCAATATGACGGCGCCGGACACAGGGAATGGGCTTCACACATTGTGCCCATGTCGGGAATCGAACCCGGGTCTCGGGCGTGACGAGCGAACGCTTTACCCTCTAGGCTACCCGCCCGCCCCTTTGTCCTCTAGATGTTCACCAAGCAAAATATGTCCGTGATGTTACCAAGACATGATAGTCGTTGCCGCTTATACTTTTGTAATAAAATAAATTTTATACATTTAAGATGATAAATCAATAATCAAAATAAAAAATTTATGAATCCACAAAACTCAGATTTGAGACTTAAACTGAGGAGGGAGGAAAAGCAGCTATTGCTCTCAGTTGATGTCATCATATGTTTGATTGTCAATTGAAAATAAATTATAATAATAGAAATAATAAGAAAAAAAATATAATTATGTCCCAAAAATTAATTGTTTTGGTCCTTTGTCAGCACCCAGAGGATACTTCTACATTGTTTTAATTTGTTTTAAATAGTTTGATTATATAATTTTCTAAAATTAAAAGACTCGCATAATACACAACTGCTGATGGGTTACTTAAATATCTTATCTTTGAAAATCAATAAATTTGCTTCTTTCTTTTTTTTGGTACAAATTTACAACATTTCAAACATGGTATGAGTCATGTGGCAAATTTCAGCGTGCGGCGTTGAACAACCATCACAGAATAGTATTTCACAATGAAATTTCAAATGTACGTCTCAGTCTTCATTGTTGCAGGTATCGATACACCGAATATCCCGCACCGTCGGTGACTTGTTACACCCCTAATTCAGTAATTTTGGACTGTTCCAGGCTTGAGACCACTCAGGAAAATGGTAAAAGGCAAAGTTGGTCAAGGGAGGGCAGGGGAGCCGATTCAAGTTCGCAAGCACAGGATGGTCCTGAGGGACAATATCAGTGGCGTCACGAAAGACGCCATTCGGCGTCTGGCAAGAAGAGGGGGCGTCAAACGCATGTCCATGCTCGTCTATGAGGAGGTGCGAGTTGTCTTGAAGATGTTCTTGGATAACCTTATCGCTGACGCTATTAGGTACACCGAGCTAGCCAAGAGGAGGACTATCACAACGATGGACGTTGTGTATGCTTTGAAGAAGCAGGGCCGTGTTCTGTACGGCTTTGGGGGTTGAGACGTGTGAAATCACTGCATCCTGCTGGATGGAAAGTGCGAAGTGCGTCACTGTATTCTGTTTTCGGATGGAGAGTGCAATCTACGTCACTACAAAATGTTTTCCGATTGACAGTGCGAAGTACGTCACTGTATTCTGTGTTTTTATGAACAGTGAAGTTCGTCACATTTTACCCTCTGTTCGGATGGACAGTGCGAAGTACGTCGCTGTATTCTGCTCCGATTGGCAGTGCGAAGTACGTCGCTGTATTCTGTGTTCGGATGGACAGTGCGAAGAACATCACTACATCCTGTGTTCCGATTGACAGTGCGAAGTACGTCGCTGTATTCTGTGTTCGGATGGACAGTGCGAAGTACGTCACTACACCCCTTTTTCTGATTGACAGTGAGAATAACGTCACTGTATTCTGTGTTTGGATGGACAGTGCGAAGTACGTCATTATATCCAGTGTTCCTATTGACCGTGCGAATAACGTCGCTGTATTCTGTGTTCTGATTGACAGTGTGAAGTACGTCGCTGTATTCTGTGTTTGGATTGATAGTGCGAAGAACGTCGCTGTATTCTGTGTTCTGATTGGCAGTGCGAAGTACGTCATTACATCCTGTATTCGGATGGTCAGTGCGACATACGTCATTACATCCTGTGTTCGGATGGTCAGTGCGAAGTACGTCACTACATCCTGTGTTCGGATGGTCAGTGCGAAGTACGTCATTACATCCTGTGTTCGGATGGTCAGTGCGACATACGTCACTACATCCTGTGTTCGGATGGTCAGTGCGAAGTACGTCATTACATCCTGTGCAGTTCATTATATCATTTGTGTTGTTGGTGTTTCCAGGAATCATGTATAATAATCCCTGTATTCTGTGTTCTGATCGACAGTGCGAAGTACGTCACTACGTCCTGTGTTCGGATTGATAGTGCGAAGTACGTCACTACATCCTGTGTTCGGATGGTCAGTGCGAAGTACGTCACTACATCCTGTGTTCGGATGGTCAGTGCGAAGTACGTCACTACGTCCTGTGTTCGGATGGTCAGTGCGAAGTACGTCATTACATCCTGTGTTCGGATGGTCAGTGCGAAGTACGTCATTACATCCTGTGTTCGGATGGTCAGTGCGACATACGTCACTACATCCTGTGTTCGGATGGTCAGTGCGAAGTACGTCATTACATCCTGTGCAGTTCATTATATCATTTGTGTTGTTGGTGTTTCCAGGAATCATGTATAATAATCCCTGTATTCTGTGTTCTGATCGACAGTGCGAAGTACGTCACTACGTCCTGTGTTCGGATTGATAGTGCGAAGTACGTCACTACATCCTGTGTTCGGATGGTCAGTGCGAAGTACGTCACTACATCCTGTGTTCGGATGGTCAGTGCGAAGTACGTCACTACGTCCTGTGTTCGGATGGTCAGTGCGAAGTACGTCACTACATCCTGTGTTCGGATGGTCAGTGCGAAGTACGTCACTACATCCTGTGTTCGGATGGTCAGTGCGAAGTACGTCACTACATCCTGTGTTCGGATTGATAGTGCGAAGTACGTCGCTGTATTCTGTGTTCGAATGGTCAGTGCGAAGAAAGTCATTACATACTGTGTTCGGATGGTCAGTGCGAAGTACGTCACTACATCCTGTGTTCGGATGGTCAGTGCGAAGTACGTCACTACATCCTGTGTTCGGATGGTCAGTGCGAAGTACGTCACTACATCCTGTGTTCGGATGGTCAGTGCGAAGTACGTCACTACATCCTGTGTTCGGATGGTCAGTGCGAAGTACGTCACTACATCCTGTGTTCGGATGGTCAGTGCGAAGTACGTCACTACATCCTGTGTTCGGATGGTCAGTGCGAAGTACGTCACTACATCCTGTGTTCGGATGGTCAGTGCGACATACGTCACTACATCCTGTGTTCGGATGGTCAGTGCGAAGTACGTCATTACATCCTGTGTTCGGATGGTCAGTGCGACATACGTCACTACATCCTGTGTTCGGATGGTCAGTGCGAAGTACGTCATTACATCCTGTGTTCGGATGGTCAGTGCGACATACGTCACTACATCCTGTGCAGTTCATTATATCATTTGTGTTGTTGGTGTTTCCAGGAATCATGTATAATAATCCCTGTATTCTGTGTTCTGATCGACAGTGCGAAGTACGTCACTACGTCCTGTGTTCGGATTGATAGTGCGAAGTACGTCACTACATCCTGTGTTCGGATGGTCAGTGCGAAGTACGTCACTACATCCTGTGTTCGGATGGTCAGTGCGAAGTACGTCACTACATCCTGTGTTCGGATGGTCAGTGCGAAGTACGTCACTACATCCTGTGTTCGGATTGATAGTGCGAAGTACGTCGCTGTATTCTGTGTTCGAATGGTCAGTGCGAAGAAAGTCATTACATACTGTGTTCGGATGGTCAGTGCGAAGTACGTCACTACATTCTGTGTTCGGATGGTCAGTGTGACATACATCACTACATCCTGTGTTCGGATGGTCAGTGCGAAGTACGTCATTACATACTGTGTTCGGATGGTCAGTGCGAAGTACGTCACTACGTCCTGTGTTCGGATGGTCAGTGCGAAGTACGTCACTACGTCCTGTGTTCGGATGGTCAGTGCGAAGTACGTCACTACATCCTGTGTTCGGATGGTCAGTGCGAAGTACGTCACTACGTCCTGTGTTCGGATGGTCAGTGCGAAGTACGTCACTACGTCCTGTGTTCGGATGGTCAGTGCGAAGTACGTCACTACATCCTGTGTTCGGATGGTCAGTGCGAAGTACGTCACTACGTCCTGTGTTCGGATGGTCAGTGCGAAGTACGTCGCTGTATTCTGTGTTCGGATGGTCAGTGCGATGTACGTCACTACATCCTGTGCAGTTCATTATATCATTTGTGTTGTTGGCGTTTCCAGGAATCATGTATAATGTTTTGCTCAAATTCTTAATAAATAAGTTTCTAAGATTGTTTTAGTTTAAAAATTGGATTCATATACCTTTGACCTTATTTGGGGCCCAAAGTGAACGTCCGGCTAAGAATAGGTCTTCAGCAACCCATGATTGTTGTAAGAGGCGACTAAGGGATCGGATTGTCAGGTTCGCTGGCTTGGTTAATGCAAAAATGATGGATAAAACCAATGCAATATTAGTATTATTTTCCAGGTTTCTTCCGGAGGGTTTACATGCAATCCTAGGCACAACCTAGGAGAAGTGTTTTATATTACATAGATACCAACAACTATTGGAATAAATTGTTTTTTTCCAATGAAATCATTCAGATGCGATTGCAGTCTTTGCACACTTCAGTTTTTGACATATCTTTATGCATATTCCAAATACAGATTGCCAATAATTCCAGTTCTTAGTTTCAGAGAAGTCGTTTAAGCAATATAGCCAAATTACCCCTATTTGGTCCCGCCCTTCAGCCCCTTAGGGGGGTCAGCCCCACCATTTGTACAATTTTGAATCCCCACCACTTAGGGATGCTTCCAGTCAAATTCTGTTAATTTCCAATTAGTAGTTCAGAAGAAGAAGTCGTTTGAATAAATTGTTGACGTATAGATGACGGACGGACGCCACGGTATGGCATAGGGTCACCTTGGTCCTTTGGACCCGGTGAGCTAACAAGTGTACTAAATGTTACATTGAAAACCTTTTGAACATTAAGTCATTTTGTTCAATATATACGTTAGGGATTTTGCAACGTTTTTTTCATGTGTTTATTTATAGTGCCCCTACGATGAGCATTATGAAGTGAAAAAGCAACCATATATCTTTCATTATTTTATTAATGATTCATTTGAAACTAAGTACACTTAAAACAATCAAACAGAATCATACATGACAAATAATTCTCCCACCATCAAATATAATGCAATGTTGAAATAAACAACTGGATTGCGGAAGCCCACCATTAAGAATGACATTCATGGAACGAAATATATTCCAAAAAGCATGTACAGCATTTTAATGCCAAGACAGCATTTTAATGATAATACTGCATTTTAATAAGACACCATCAGGTTGACTTCCTTTTCGCCCCTTTACTTTGCCCTGACATTCTGTTTGACAAGTAATATTTCAAAGTTGTTTCATGGGAGATAACCCATCTTACTAGATGGGCACATTATCCTTATCAAACCAGATGAAGCATCATAAAATCTCCCTCCTTGACTGGGGAGACTTCGGAATTCGATGAATGTAGGGAGAGTCGGTGTGTCGACTATAAGGTTGATGAGGGGTGTGGTGCTGTTAAACAGAAATCGAATTGGGCTGGTCTATCCAATACCTTAAAAATATATATTCCAGTAACCCAAGATTGGAACTAAAATCGGCTTCTTACTGCCAGTGTTAAAAAAAATGACATTCTGTGGACAAATGAATTCAGTAATTTTCATGATCACAAAATAGTGGAATCCTCCAGAGTAATGTCAAAAAGGAGTTTAAATACTGACATTTATGTCCACAAAAAGACATTAAGGCAAAAAAGGAAGTGAAATATGACTGTTTGTAGAATTGAAAAAGAAAGGCATAAGAACATGACATATTTACATCAATTTAGTTTTTGAAATCATGAAAACAATTAATTATTCAGACTTCTTTAAGGCACTTTATGCTACTGACTAGAATGAGTTTTGTCAGAAACATACATGAAAAATATTTGATACCACAATACAAAAACACCAACATTTTTTCGACATTACAGAAGGTCACTAACATAAAAATAGTGGCATGGCACTGTAACACACATAGAAAGTTAGTCAACAACTTAAATTGACAACAAAGACGACTACTTGACAAAAGTTGCTCTCACCATTTAAATATGGCTGAGGCGGACATATTGAAAATCCGACATAAACCTCATGAGCAAATCTATTTTAATTAACCAGCATATTATTTTATACTTCGTACCTGCATCAAACTATCATGTCCTTATCATGTAGACTGCTGGCTTGATATCAAACATGGTTCACTTTCTAATGAAAGACGTTCGACATTCAACATATTACCAATATATTCTGCACATACCGTATTCAACGTAATAAGCGCCCAGGGCGCTCTCCAAATTAGAAATAGGGGGCTCTTCTTAGAATATAATTTTGGTGGAAAAAAAAACAGTTGAAAGATCGTAAATTTCTAGGTTTATGTACCTGAAATGATACAAAAGAAAAGTCTGTGCGTTTTATACACGACAGATATATTTTTCCAGAATTTAACTGCACATTATTAAGGGTGCATATAACACATGAGTGCGTATCATACACGAATAAATAAGTCTTGTTTACATTTATCAATTAGAAGAGGTGCTAATTTGGATTGTTCACTAGCTAATATACATGTATTAGCAAATATCACCTTGGGCGCTTATTAGAGCGGGCCACTAATTAAGTTGAATACGGTAACCCCTGTCCGTAAGCTCTATTTTGGTTGCAAACTACTGTATCTACAGTCAGAAAATCTATCTCAAACACATGTCACACAAATTATTAGAGCACAACATTCATACTAAATTTCCAATCCATCCAGCGTCTTAAAACTGTCATGGAAAATGCTGAGGACATATTAATGTCCTTCCTCTATCATTCTGTGTATTGAATCAAGAGGTCCAGATGAGCTGTGTATTTGCATAAAACAGGCAAACTAATTAAAAGGCGACTATGCTTGTCGTAAGATATCATAATAGAATGCATAGACTCGTTAATCCAGCCAAAATGTAAGTCCAGAATACCAGCCTAGTTCGGCAAGGGTGGAAACTGGACTTTTATATTCAACTCCCTTGCCTCAGGAAGATGGTAAAGATCATGGTGCCACAAACCTTAATGCTAAAACGTCTAATGAAGTTACACTGTTCGTTAGTGATTGAAACAATGTGCAGTATCACCAGTACTTGACTTTGCGTGGCTTCAAATACAACCAGATATTGCCGGAATATACCTAAAAACGGCATTAACCATACTGACTCACTCAAACTCATTAGAGCAGCTCTGTTAGTGATGTGTTAAGATTTGGTTGTCTGGTTGTTTGTTGTTAAACGCCGCACTCAGCAATATTCCAGCTATATGACGGCGGTCTGTAAATAATTGAGTCTGGACCAGACAATCCAGTGATTGATATCATGAGCATCCATCCTCGCAATTGGGATCGATGACAAGTCAGCGAGCCTGACCACCCGATCCCGTTAGTCGCCTTTTACGACAAGCATAGTCGCCTTTTACGGTAAGCATGGGTTGCTGAAGACCTATTCTACCCCGGAATCTTTACGGGTCGATGTGTTAAGAGTGATGGAGGTGGTGACATCACTTCCTAGACGATGCTATGGAGACCAAGAGGTCCATGGTATTTATCATAATAGAATGGAGACGTAATACACTGAATAATCAATGGGACAAATTGTAATCAGATCCCCTAAACATTCGGACGGATACACCCACCACAAAACACACTCAACCCTAAAGCTAAAGCCTATATATTGTAACAACATTCATTCAACTGAAACAAATCAAACTATCACAATAACATATCATCTCGACCCATACCCAATTTCGTAACACATTTAGGCCAGACTATTTCTATAATTTGGTTTCCAAATCCACCAACCCCGAACATTTAAAAGTAAAAAAATAAATATAATACATTTTTATTCCGCCAACAAGAAATAAGTCACACATTGAAGAAAATAAATGATTCACTGTTGATAACAATATAAATAAATGATTAAATATACTATAAAAAAAAACTGTTGAAAATTTATCTTAAAAACTCCCATCCCTCATTATATTTTTTATTTTTTTATTTTTTTTACTTAATTTTTTTTAACATTTTGAAGTGTTCACAAAATATATTTGAAATTGTATTGTATTTTTTCTTATGAATGTTTCGATCAAAAATCCGTAAACCAGAATATAAAAAAGTCTGGCCTTATACACAGTACATACACAGACACAAGTAAAACATTTATAATGATTTTTTATAAAACAAACTTAAATAAATATTACATTGGATGATCTCTGCATTGAAGGATGGAATGTTGTATTATGGCGTTACATAATCCTGATAATAAACCCAAGTTGTTGTTGCCATAGTTTCCTGGAGCAGTTCACAGTGTACATTGTGGCCAACCACAGTAACATTAAACCTTTACCTTGAGACAACACCCATCTGCACGAAGATCAACAAACCCTCCATTGCAGATCATGTCATGTTTAACTTTCTAATCAGACTTTCTAATCTGCTTTAATTATTAAAGTTACTAAACTCTCATCACGAACAAGTTAAAAAAGCTTTCAGAACATCATATGAGAGTTTTTGTATCTCAATAACGAACATAAACAGGAAGTTTTGGATGGAAAACAATAAAGGCCATGTTATATATGTTGTTGATATTTCATACACCTTATCGTTTCTGAGCTCCATCAAATCCACACGAACGGTCTTCTTGTAAGGGAACATTACGTTTTGGGTGGTCAAGATAAAAGATTCAGAATCAAGGTAAAAAAAAAGCCGAATCGTTTTAGAAAGCCTACTTCTGATGGGTTGAAAAACCCACACATCCTTCATTTTGCCTGGGTGGTCAAGGTTTCATCAAGGCTCCCTGACTCAACTTCCTGGAAAGGGTATAACAAATCTTCACGCAGAGAGGTACTTGGTCGCAGTAAACAATCTTATTGTAATGAGACTGTTTTGTCAACAAGAATAACCAACCATAATTGTCTACAGTAATAAAACCTGATATTCAAGGTCCATCTGGCATGCTCAAATCAAGCTCTGAGTTATGGATTGTCTACAGGATGTGGCATGTAACACAATTTTAAACATGTTACATGTACATAGGGACCTCCAGCCAACCTATCCAGGATTTCAATTTCATTTTTTTTCAAGACACCCAATTTTGTTATCAGTGCCCTGCCCTTTATGGCTGAAATAAGGATAAAAAAATAATAGTCTTGGTTCTCTGGCACTGCCCGCATCATCATAAAGTTTGCGCACATTTCATTTTTATTTCCGTTTTTAAAAAAAATATAAAAAATCCTGAAATATTCCAAGTCCAACGATAGTCAAAAACTGTATTTCAGTATTTTACATTAATGTAGGGAGGCTCTTTCCCACAACTGTTTATTTGGTTACATACTAGTTTGAACACCTCCCCCCCCCCCCCCAAAAAAAACCCAACACCACCCGCCCACACTATATTTTCAAAAGCCATTGTCTGAGAACCAATTATGTTATTTTTTTAAGCCTTAGGTGTGATTTTAGAGTTTGTTTCTGATATTTACGCAAGCCTTTGACCCAAGCTGATTTTTTAAGATGTGAATACAAAACATTACAAACATATGATAGTAATAGTAAATCATATCGGGTCACAGACTTGCTCAAAATTACATTTTCATTTGAAAAATAATCTGCCATTTTTACACATTTTACCCATTTCTGTGTTTTTTACTATGTCAGAAGCCAAAAACAAATATGTCTGATAATATTTATACCAACAACTTACCAAAACTTTAAAAATTGACAATTCTAGTTGGCCGAAAAAGGGCCATTATTCCATCTTGTTGGCAGCCATCACCCTCGTCAAGAATGGAATTGTTTTTATTCAAGCCTGCACTCATAGGGCACAGGGCACTCATATTTCCAAGATGTCCAGGCGTGCCCTTTGGAATTATGTTATCCCAACTAGAGGAACAAATTTGGTGGAGCTCATTTCACGAAGGCTAGATAATAAGCAGTTGTAAATTATGAAATTCGCCACTTTTCTTTACACTGAGATTTATGATACCGTATTCGATGTAACAAGCGCCTAGGGCACTCTCAAAATTAGAAATAGGGGGCTCTGATTAGAATATTATTTTAGAAAAAAAAGGGAGGTGAAAGGTCGTAAATTTTGTGGTTTATGCTGACAGCCTGAAATGCTTATATACGACAAACATATTTTTCCAGAATTTAATTTCTCATAATTAAGGGTGCATAAAAACACGAGTACCGGTACATATTATACAAGAATAAATAAGTCATGAGTACATTGCTCAATCGGAAGGGGTGGTAACTGGGATTGTTCACTAGCCAATATATTAGCAAATATCGTTGTCTGCACTTATTTGAGCGGGGCGCTTATTACGTCGGTAAGGTACTGCTTTTCCATTTCTGAATAAATTTAGTGGAGCTCATTTCAGCAAGGCTAGATAATGAGCAGTTGTAAATTACTAAGTTTGCCACTTTTCTTTACACTGAGATTTATATAATACTGTTTTTGGATTTCTGAATCCCTAAGTTTATCTTACAACTCACACTGTGCACATTATTTTCCATGTGTTTGACATGTTTATTGTGGTTTAATATAAAAAAACATTGTCACAAGATTTTGTTCGAAAATAGGATTTGTTGGTGTATTCTCCAGGCACCAGCACTTATTTCAACCGGGGTGTTATGATTTTAACAAACACAAGAAATTTCTAACCCTCGTGGTGTTTGACTGATTGGAGTCAGTGATGCTAAGTTGCTGGCGCCTTCAACAGCCATTTAATCTACCCCACCCATGTTCCTGAGGCAAGGGAGTTAACTGACTGTAAAAGTCCAGTTTCCACCCTTGCGGAACTAGGCTGGAATTTCTGTGTTCGTCCAATGCGCCACCAGTGGCTAAAAGTCCCTTCTTTTGACCAATCAGATTCCACCTCTGATATCACTTGCATTTGCTTCAAACAAAATGGCGGTGCCAAGTGAAGACAATCTGATCAATAATCAATATCGATATTGTATTAAAATGCGTCTTACTTCGTGAATTGCATCAAACTATATGAGCACCTTCACTAAAACATTAAAAGATTTGGAAAATATTTTCTTACGCTAAGTTGACTGTACACCTGCTTTGCAAATCCTGCAATTGACAGAAATCTGCACTGCAGTTTACCAACCGGATGTTGTTGTTCGTATTTTGATTGGACTATGCATAGACTCGTTAGTCAAGCCAAAATATAACTCCAAAATTCCAGCCTAGTTCAACAAGGGTGGAAACTGGACTTTTGTAGTAAGTTAACTCCCTTGCCTCAGGAAGATGATCCACCCTTTCTACCCTAAAACTTTCTTAACACCAGGGTGTACTATACTCAGTGTCGTTATTGAGGGCTCATGAAGATAACAGAAAATAAAGTGTTGCATTTTCAACCTCAAAGGATGAAGATCAGTAGCATCTTGAATGACCCATTTTATACCCACTGACTGTTACTTGTCATGTGCTGGATGTGCATGGTGAGTGAGTGAGTGAGATGGGTTTAACGCCGCTTTTAATAGTATTCCAGTTATATCACGGTGTGCCAGCTTAGTGTGGGAGGAAAGCCCGAAGTGATGCAGGTCTCAGACGTTGACCACTTTGGTGAAACCCACGAGCACGGGTATGGAGCTGACAAACCTAGAAACATAATCGGGGCGAACCAGGATTCGAACCCACAATCATAGGTTTCTGGCATGCCAAAGGGATGCAACTCTGAGTACATTTTTCCAGTTTCATAAAAGCATCCGATCAGTGTGACGTAGGCATAAATATTATTTATTGTATTGTTTGTTGTTTAACGCTGCACTCAGCAATATTCCAGCTATATGACAGCGGTCTGTAAATAATCGAGTCGGGACCAGACAATCCAGTGACTGATATCATGAGCATCAACTAAGTCAGCAAGCCTGACCACCCAGTCCTGTTAGTCTCCTTTTACGACAAGCATAGTTACTTTTTACAGCAGGCATGGGTTACTGAAGACCTATTCTACCCTGGATCTTCACGGAGGCATAAACAACATGTTCTTCAACTGTCAATCCCATTGTCCACATACCCAGACCTAGTGCCGCTTGATGTTCATGTCGTATATCTACCCACCTATAACCTAGTGACCCTTCAATAATGACGCTGAGTATATATCCACCCTGTGATCTCCCATACATAAGATACAGAGTAGACTCTGCTGAACACTGAGCACATGGCAGCATCTAGAACAACTTCTTCTTTCTCTCTGCGGCTCTACGACTCATGACACAGGCACAGGCGAGGATCACTAGAACAAGGGAGACTACTCCTCCGGCAATTGTCAGGAAAGTGAAGCGATTGGGGCCTTCAATTTGATCCTGCAAAACGAAATATAAAGTTTAACACAAAACAACTGTTATGGACTGTATGACCAATTCAAAATACTTTAAAAAGCATAGTCTGGAATAGAAGTCGCAACTTTTAAACTGGTACCCAAAGCTTAAGAAAGCTGCTTTCTAATTCGTTGCAAATTAGGTGTGTCGGAGTCGGAGTGCGAGACTGTCGGATTAAAGGGGTCTAAATAGCACTGATTTAATCGGTTCCCATCAATAGTGTCGAATAAAGCCGATTGTCTGATTAACGAGTGTCTGATTAACGAGACATGACTGTATAGTGTAGAAACTTGTTTCAGTGTCTACATGTTCTGAGACAATTTGGGACCTTTTGATATGACTTGGTTATGAGATTTTTGTCCAATACCAAGGCTAAAAAATACAAGAATTGGTTCTCAGGCAATGGCTTTTGAAAATAAAGTGCAGACGGGGATTGTCTTTTTGGGGGGAATTGTTCAAACTAGTATGTAACCAAATAAAGAGTTGTGCAACTACATAAACAGTTGTGTACAATCAACCTGGGAAAGGCCGACATAAATGTTTTCCTTGATGAGTAAATAATGGAATACAGTATTTGACTACCCTTGGACTTGGAATATTTAAAGATTTTTTATATTAAAAAAAAATGGAAATAAAATCGAAATGTGTGGCAAACATTATAATGATGCGGGCGATGCCTGAGAACCAAGACTATATTTTTTTAGCCCAAATGTCAAGGATTCCAACCCCCACTCAGGATAAGGCACCTAATTGCCAGCACACAAAGTCAGCAACTTCGGAAGCTGAGTGACAGATCACTGACTTTGTGTGCTGGCGATTAGGTGCCTAACTCTGAAAGTGTGGGTTCGAATCCTGGATGGGCTCCACCCTAAAAAGTACTGGAATTTGTACTTTACAAGGAAAGTGTTATCCCAAATACAACATGTTACATTTGACATACTTTGAAGTGAGCTTTACAGACCTAGAAGCAGTCTGTAATTTCTGAGAATATATATTTTTGTTAACACAGGGAATTTAGACTATTCATATATCATGAATGATACTTACTTTCAAAGCCTTAGCAATATTTTCTGTAAGTTCATCACTGAAACAAAATAATGATTTCATTAGAAAAGAATTCATGATAATTACTGTTGTTTGTTATTTAACGCCACACTCAGCAATGTTCCAGCTACCGGTATATGATGGCAGTCTGTAAATAATCGACTCTGGACCAAACAATCCAGTGATTGACATCATGAGCATTGATCCACGCATTTGGGATACGATGACATGCATCAACCATGTCAGCGAGCCTGACCACCCGATCCCGTTAGTCGCCTCTTACGACAAGCATGAGTTGCCCAAGACCTATTCTAACCCAGATCATCACAAGTCGGGAATGTTTCAATGGCAATTTTGGAACTTTTACTGATGCTTGCTGCAGACTTGCTGCCAAATACCAGCCTACACGATGTGAATACTCACAAGCTTGAGGGGTCCACTGGGACTGACTCCGCCTTCATATTTTTGTACCATCCTTCCACGAAAGAAGTCAAAGATTTGGTGTCATATTTTTCTACTTCATAGCGGTACATTTTTCCTTGTTTATAACTGAAAGAAAACAAGATGACTCAATAAACAACACCTCAGGTCCTGAATATGTTCCTAACAAGAACTATAGGTGGTGACAATGAAAATACAGTCGACGAATATCAAATATATCAATGAGAGCCTAGGAGTATTTCCACTTTTATCAACGAGTGTTGATATATTTGATATCAAAAGACATGAGGGTGAGATTTTATTTATCATCCAAAATCATTCTTCTAACTTTTTCAGTTTGTAGACAGTAATAGGCAGTGTCTTAGTGTAAAAGTACTGCTAGTATCTTCAGTTGCAGAGCCATTAGTGATGTCATTTGATTGTGACGTCATGGTAACCAGTGATGTCACAATGGTCCGCAAAGCATTGTCATGCAATTTCATTGCAGCGATATTTACAAAGTAGATATCGCTTGATCTCACCCAAGCATATCTCCTGTGGGAGCCAGTTTTGGATGATAAACAAAGATCTGATATAGGACAACCTTTCATCAGACCAATCAGAATGTTGCTTATCAGATCAGGAAAAGAACAGACCGAATATGTTTTTAAATTATTCAACCTCAAAAAGGTCGTAACGGAGTATTCCGAACGACAGTTAAGGGCTGAAGGCTGATTCCGTCAAAATCATTGTCTATCTCTTGCTTAAATGGGATACACATTTCAAAGCGGAAGAGACTTTCCAGAGTCCGTGGGAAGTACTGCCTACAATATCAATTAGACATTCCACAATTTTCTTTTGTTTAGTTTTCAAATTTGGAATCATTACTTCTCAAAGTGTAGCCTGGAATGGAAGTCGCTAGTTTGAAAATGATGCTGTAAAGCTCCAGAAGCTGCTTTCTGATTGGCTTTTGTCATCTTCTTGTTACTGGCTGGCGACCAGTCATCGCCGAGGACTAGTTATCGCTATCTCCCTGTTATAGTGTGCACGTGATAACAACTCAGTTTACTTATACTCGTTTTCATTAGAAGAGAGAAATATTAATCTGACAATGATGAATAAAACGGGCCTCTTGTGAGGAAATATTCAAAACAACCCACCATAATCACCTTGTTCAAATACAACTTCAGAAAAGACACGTGGGCAGTTTTACGTGACTAATTTACGCGAAAATATAAATAAAAAAACAAGATCATGTGTTATCAGTTCTGTCATTGCTTTTTATCTGTCTATCATTTCTTCCCCAAAATACAATTCTGAAACGTATTTGAGCTATATTTCCAAAAATGCATAACCTGTATATATTGCAAAATCCATAGCACATAGTGTTAAGGATAAGTATACGTAGATCGAATTCTGGGAATTTAGTTTTTGTCAGTTTGCAGATGACAAATTGATAATAGCATTTCTTATTCATTCTGATGAATAAAAAAATTGAGGGCGATACCCTTGATAATAAAAATCTACTTTGTACACGGAATATGTCAGAAATAACATGAAAGAAATGGTGATTACTGGTCAGAGACCAGTAGTCATTTCATTGGTCAGTCAAAGTTCATGAAAGGTCGCTGACGTGATCTGTGATTTGACGTCCTCTGATCTATGTGAAGCGGTAGCGAGAACAAATGTCTGATCTTAATGAGATAGGAGTTGCAACTTCTTCTATTCTTTCAATGTCACGTTTCAGTACATATGTTGGTACTAGGGCTGGGACGAGTCCAAATTTACTACCTGGGTACCCACCCCCTACTACCTGACCCCACCCCCTACTACCTGACCCTACCCCCTACTACCCAACCCTACCCCTACTACCTGACCCTACCCCCTACTACCTGACCCTACCCCCGACTACCAGACCCTACCCCCTACTACCTGACCCTACCCCCTACTACCTGACCCTACCCCCTACTACCTGACCCTACCCCCTACTACCTGACCCCACCCCCTACTACCTGACCCCACCCCCTACTACCTGACCACACCCCCCACTACCTGACCCCACCCCCCACTACCTGACCCCACCCCCACTACCTGACCCCACCCCCTACTACCTGACCCTACCCCCCACTACTTGACCCTACCCCCGACTACCTGACCCTACCCCCGACTACCTGACCCTACCAAGGTACCCACTGCAGATCTCATTAGACTAGTACAAACTGTTCGATAAGGAATTGTTTGACCAGAGCCCTGGCAAAAAGTATTTAGATACACTATAAAACGATCAGGTCATGCATTACTGAAGTTGACTGAAGGTCTATCATTTTTCAAAAATATATACATCAGAAGGAATATGTAAATAGTCAGAAAGAAATGCAAACAATCGTGACCTGAAGTGTATTCACAGAGCTCTAGATAATTTTTGTCATCAAACAATAGTATCATGTGACTAACCACAGGTCAGGGTAGTCCTGTGGGTACCCTGGTCCTTCTCAGAACCCACCTGACCCGAGTACCCGATTCACCCGTCCCAGCCCTAGAACACAGTCGCGGCCCTAGTTGGTACCTTTATCAAGCAATGTCTTCATCACCTCAAGGAACCCAAAACACTGCCAAAAATGGACACTGATTCACCTGATCTCAAATAAGAACCTGACAATGTGGACATGAACTTCACTGTCTACAATGACAGGTAGTTACTTACAATATGACACTGGGACATTTCGTAACCTTCATCCTCTTCACCAAGCGGGGATTGGTTTCCATGGCAACCTTGGCTATATTCATTTTCCTCTTCATCCTGAAAATATTAAACTTGTGTCACAAGTAAAATCATAATCAATCTGAAAATGCAAATTTGAAGTCAGTGCCAAACACTTCTCAGTCGACTAGCCCAAACTTGCATTAAAGCATGACCTTAAGTAGAAAGTAGTCAAGTACATGGGACCGCCTACGTGGTCTAGTTGTGGAGCGTCCACCTGGGGGGCGGGAGGTTCGGGGTTCGATCTCCTGTCACATCATCCCAAAAGACGTTAAAAGATGGTACTCGTTGTTACCCTGCCTGGCGCTCGGCATTAAGGGGCTAAAACAAGTACTTGTCGGCTCAGAGCCAGTAGACGTGTCTGAGTGGGGTATCAATGTTAAACTGTAGCATGGAATCTCAGTAAGCTAGCATTATAAACCGGCATTAGTTTGCAGCCACATACACACACAAACACACACACACAAACATGTTGTTATACAAGTGCAATAATAAACGTGACATCACCTACCTGACTCCAAAACTTTCCATGGCGAACAGGATTTTTGAGCAGGAGTCTTTGTAACTGTAACATGAACCAGCCAGTATAGTCACAACAAGGCAGAAAGTGTGCAGGGCTCACTAATACTCCAACATATGTCAAACTTCAAAACATGAAAAAAGCAATATGTTAAATCCACTTATCGAAATCAAACTTTGCATGCACCTCTCCAATTGTTATAAAAAGTACACCCCTAATTGGAAAAGAATCCATGAAGTAGTTTTCAAATGATAGGTCGCACAAATGTTGAAGTAAAAAATTCTTACAAGTTCAAAACATGAAAACAATCATAGTTTCTCAGAAACTCCACATATCAAAATCAACCTTTGCACTGCACCTCTTCTATTAGTATGGAAACTGTTTAATAAATTTGAAAAGAATCTATGCAGTTTCAAGAATAGGTTGCACAAATGTATGTTAAACAATTCTAAGTAATTTTTTCTGAAATTCAAAATATTGCAATCAAACTTCGCACTGCACCTATATAATTAGTGAAGAAAGTGTTCACCTAGTTTATAAAGAATCTATGCAGTAGTTTTCAAGTTATATGTCGCACAAACAAATATTCTTGAGAGGACAGACTTGGTATAACTATTTACCCATGCCCTTTTAGGTTTGGGGTGTTATAAAAGAGGACTTGATGGACTGTGTCCAGTTGGTCAAGTATTTGTAGAAGGTTTGTTTGTTGTTTAACACCGCACTCAGCAATATCCCAGCCATGTGACAGAGGCAAGTAAATCACCTGGGCCAGACAAACCAGTGGTTGATGTCATGAGCACCGTCCCATGCCGTTGGAGTACCACGACATGTAGTACCTTCTACTACTATTTTGGTGGCAGAAAAACGTTTAAAGTCTTGTTCCTTGTTTAAGAGACAAATTTTTGTTATTTTTACTATTTTAAAACATCCAATGCTTCAAACATGCTGAAGGAGAAGCTGAAAATTTTATTTTTTATATTTTTTACAACACATATTTTAAAAAGAATTTACAACTCATATTTTATATATGTTTTACAAGACATATTTTTTTATTTTTCACAAGACATTTTTCACAACATATTTTTTTATTTTTCAAAACATTTTTTTTTCACGACATATTTTTCACAATACATATCATTTAATTTTTCACAACACACATTTTTTGTATATTTTTCACAACACATATTTTTTTAGATTTTCACAACACATACTTTTTTTGTTTATTTACACAAAACAGATTTTTTCAGGACAGCCAACATGACCAGTGAACAGTTTTGTATTCTGTTATAAACCAGAGGAAATATTTTTTCATCCCAAATCATTTTTAAAAAGGCTCCAGTACTCACTATGCAACCAGCCAGTCCCCGGTTGTGGCTCCAGTGGCTGCCTGGGTGAGATGCTCAAAGGAGTCGTCAGTCAGAGACTTTGTTGCTATGTCTGATGCTACATCCAGCCAGGCACCTATGTTCTCTGTGTCCACAGTCACACCTGGAAACAGACACAGCCACACTCAGGGTTACACCTTGACCAGCAAAACCTGGGGTCATGAGGACCCCCAATCGCATTAAAATCAGATCTTAGTTCTCGCTACTGCTAAACAAAGATCTGAGGACATCCCATTACGGGTCACGTCAGACCGACCTTGCACAAACTTTGACCGACCAATGGAATGACCAATCAGAAGGCACTTTCTCGTGCTTTACGGCACTAATTTCAAATTGGCGACTACACTTCGAAACATATTTTGACAAATTCTCGATTACAAATTTGAAATTTGAACGAAAGAACATTCTGGAATGGCTAATAGATGGTCTTGATTGTATGGATTCAGTCGTTAAACCCGTAACTATCGTTCGGAGTTAAAGTTTTCGAGGTTGCATGATTAGAAATCACATTCCGACTGTCACTTTCATAATCTGGTAAGCGATGCTCTGATTGGTCGGATGAAAGGTCGTTCTGACGTGACCCCTAATGGGATGTCTTCAGATCTTTGTTTAGTGGTAGCGAGAACTGAGGTCTGATTTTAATGAGATTGTGAGGACCCCTATTCTGTCTTACAGACCCTGATACAAGTATATATCAAATACACCCCATGCAAGTCTATAATGTTTGGCAAGTCTAGATCACTGCAGTATCTGAAAATGAAGAGAGTCACTGGCCTCCTTTTAATTATATCTTTATTAAGATAACTGAACAACTGTTTTTTTCTGTACGATATGTTCATTTCAGATACTAGATGTTAGTCTAGAGGACCCCCAATAATTAATTTCAAGTGTCCTTACAGAAAGTGTGAGGGGCCCTGTAAAGGTTTTGTTTTGTTTTGTTTGTTGTTTGGATGGTTGTTTAACACCGCACTCAGCAATATTCCAGCTATATGACGGCAGACTGTAAATGATGTCGCTTTTTACGGCAAGCATGGGTTCCTGAAAACCTTTTCTACTCCGGATCTTCGTGGGTTCCCTGTAAAGAAATGATATGGTGTAGTGTAGTGTACTGTACTGTAAGAAATAATAATTATTTTAATTACAGGAACTTTATATTTCTTGTCAAAAATTTGATACACTGAATATTACTGTGCGTCCCTCGGCAGAGCCCGAGATAAGCTGCGTATTTGTGTAAAATATGCATTAAATAAACAGAAATACGCAGACAAATAAAATCCCAGAGTATCAAATATGGAGAAAAACTATAAATACACTATTGAAATAAAATTAATGCGAATATTACAACTATTAGATAAAACAATTGCGTATATTACAAATGTTAGATAAAATGATTGTGTATCAGCCGATCATGAAATTCACTTACCAACAGTTACATTTGGAAAAAGCTTGTGCGCCAAACATATACCGATTGATGCCAATTTTAAAGCACATCGTGGCTCCTCAATGTACATGTTTTATTTTGAATAGTTGGTGTTTGGTGATTAAATTAGAATACCTCCTTTCACACTATGCTAAGTTTTGCAAATAAAAATGGCTTCCCGGAGAGGGAGCTGTAAGCAGACGCAGACGGATATACAACTATTCACATAGTTTTAAATGATTTAAGGGGATTGTTATGAAACAGGTTTTAAGTAAAAATACCCAAATGTCAAGAAACAAGTGGGTTAAAAATATTTGAATACCCTCTAAAAATTGTGGATATCCAATCAAAATTAAACCCCTGGGTAAAATACCCAAATAACCAAAAGCTTATCTAGAGCTCTGCTGGGGATACAAGTTTTTTCTGCATCCATTCTGGACTTATCTCATACTGGACACATATATATGCATCGTGTAAAACTCTGTACAATGTAGGGAGAGACATGAAAGGGTAAAACTCTGTACAATGTAGGGACAGACATGAAAGGGTAAAACTCTGTACAATGTAGGGACAGACATGAAAGGGTAAAACTCTGTACAATGTAGGGACAGACATGAAAGGGTAAAACTCTGTACAATGTAGGGAGAGACATGAAAGGGTAAAACTCTGTACAATGTAGGGACAGACATGACAGGGTAAAACTCTGTACAATGTAGGGACAGACATGACAGTGTAAAACTCTGTACAATGTAGGGACAGACATGAAAGGGTAAAACTCTGTACAATGTAGGGACAGACATGACAGTGTAAAACTCTGTACAATGTAGGGAGAGACATGAAAGTGTACAACTCTGTACAATGTAGGAACAGACATGAAAGGGTAAAACTCTGTACAATGTAGGGAGAGACATGAAAGGGTAAAACTCTGTACAATGTAGGGACAGACATGAAAGTGTACAACTCTGTACAATGTAGGGACAGACATGACAGTGTAAAACTCTGTACAATGTAGGGACAGACATGAAAGGGTAAAACTCTGTACAATGTAGGGACAGACATGAAAGATAAAACTCTGTACAATGTAGGGAGAGACATGAAAGGGTAAAACTCTGTACAATGTAGGGACAGACATGACAGTGTAAAACTCTGTACAATGTAGGGACAGACATGACAGTGTAAAACTCTGTATAATGTAGGGACAGACATGAAAGGGTAAAACTCTGTACAATGTAGGGAGAGACATGAAAGGGTAAAACTCTGTACAATGTAGGGACAGACATGAAAGGGTAAAACTCTGTACAATGTAGGGAGAGACATGAAAGGGTAAAACTCTGTACAATGTAGGGACAGACATGAAAGGGTAAAACTCTGTACAATGTAGGGACAGACATGAAAGGGTAAAACTCTGTACAATGTAGGGACAGACATGAAAGGGTAAAACTCTGTACAATGTAGGGAGAGACATGAAAGGGTAAAACTCTGTACAATGTAGGGACAGACATGAAAGGGTAAAACTCTGTACAATGTAGGGAGAGACATGAAAGGGTAAAACTCTGTACAATGAAGGAGCAGACATGAAAGGGTAAAACTCTGTACAATGTAGGGACAGACATGAAAGGGTAAAACTCTGTACAATGTAGGGACAGACATGAAAGGGTAAAACTCTGTACAATGTAGGGAGAGACATGAAAGGGTAAAACTCTGTACAATGTAGGGACAGACATGAAAGGGTAAAACTCTGTACAATGTAAGGACAGACATGACAGTGTAAAACTCTGTACAATGTAGGGAGAGACATGACAGTGTAAAACTCTGTACAATGTAGGGACAGACATGAAAGGGTAAAACTCTGTACAATGTAGGGACAGACATGAAAGGGTAAAACTCTGTACAATGTAGGGAGAGACATGAAAGGGTAAAACTCTGTACAATGTAGGGAGAGACATGACAGTGTAAAACTCTGTACAATGTAGGGACAGACATGAATGGTAAAACTGTACAATGTAGGGAGAGACATGACAGTGTAAAACTCTGTACAATGTAGGGAGAGACATGACAGTGTAAAACTCTGTACAATGTAGGGACAGACATGACAGGGTAAAACTCTGTACAATGTAGGGACAGACATGACAGTGTAAAACTCTGTACAATGTAGGGACAGACATGAAAGGGTAAAACTCTGTACAATGTAAGGACAGACATGACAGTGTAAAACTCTGTACAATGTAGGGAGAGACATGAAAGGGTAAAACTCTGTACAATGTAGGGAGAGACATGACAGGGTAAAACTCTGTACAATGTAGGGACAGACATGAATGGTAAAACTGTACAATGTAGGGAGAGACATGAAAGGGTAAAACTCTGTACAATGTAGGGACAGACATGACAGTGTAAAACTCTGTACAATGTAGGGACAGACATGAATGGTAAAACTGTACAATGTAGGGAGAGACATGAAAGGGTAAAACTCTGTACAATGTAGGGACAGACATGACAGTGTAAAACTCTGTACAATGTAGGGACAGACATGAAAGGGTAAAACTCTGTACAATGTAGGGACAGACATGAAAGGGTAAAACTCTGTACAATGTAGGGACAGACATGAAAGGGTAAAACTCTGTACAATGTAGGGACAGACATGAAAGTGTACAACTCTGTACAATGTAGGGACAGACATGAAAGGGTAAAACTCTGTACAATGTAGGGACAGACATGAAAGGGTAAAACTCTGTACAATGTAGGGACAGACATGACAGTGTAAAACTCTGTACAATGTAGGGACAGACATGAAAGGGTAAAACTCTGTACAATGTAGGGACAGACATGACAGTGTAAAACTTTGTACAATGTAGGGAGAGACATGACAGGGTAAAACTCTGTACAATGTAGGGACAGACATGACAGTGTAAAACTCTGTACAATGTAGGGAGAGACATGAAAGGGTAAAACTCTGTACAATGTAGGGAGAGACATGAAAGGGTAAAACTCTGTACAATGTAGGGACAGACATGAAAGGGTAAAACTCTGTACAATGTAGGGACAGACATGAAAGGGTAAAACTCTGTACAATGTAGGGACAGACATGAAAGGGTAAAACTCTGTACAATGTAGGGAGAGACATGAATGGTAAAACTCTGTACAATGTAGGGAGAGACATGAAAGGGTAAAACTCTGTACAATGTAGGGACAGACATGACAGGGTAAAACTCTGTACAATGTAGGGACAGACATGACAGTGTAAAACTCTGTACAATGTAGGGAGAGACATGAAAGTGTACAACTCTGTACAATGTAGGGACAGACATGACAGGGTAAAACTCTGTACAATGTAGGGACAGACATGACAGTGTAAAACTCTGTACAATGTAGGGAGAGACATGAAAGTGTAAAACTCTGTACAATGTAGGGACAGACATGACAGGGTAAAACTCTGTACAATGTAGGGACAGACATGACAGTGTAAAACTCTGTACAATGGAGGGAGAGACATGACAGTGTAAAACTCTGTACAATGTAGGGAGAGACATGAAAGTGTACAACTCTGTACAATGTAGGGAGAGACTTGAAAGGGTAAAACTCTGTACAATGTAGGGACAGACATGAAAGGGTAAAACTCTGTACAATGTAGGGACAGACATGAAAGGGTAAAACTCTGTACAATGTTGGGAGAGACATGAATGGTAAAACTCTGTACAATGTAGGGAGAGACATGAATGGTAAAACTCTGTACAATGTAGGGACAGACATGACAGTGTAAAACTCTGTACAATGTAGGGAGAGACATGAAAGGGTAAAACTCTGTACAATGTAGGGACAGACATGACAGGGTAAAACTCTGTACAATGTAGGGAGAGACATGAAAGGGTAAAACTCTGTACAATGTAGGGACAGACATGACAGTGTAAAACTCTGTACAATGAAGGAGCAGACATGAAAGGGTAAAACTCTGTACAATGTAGGGAGAGACATGACAGGGTAAAACTATGTACAATGTAGGGACAGACATGACAGTGTAAAACTCTGTACAATGTAGGGAGAGACATGAAAGGGTAAAACTCTGTACAATGTAGGGAGAGACATGAAAGGGTAAAACTCTGTACAATGTAGGGACAGACATGAAAGGGTAAAACTCTGTACAATGTAGGGACAGACATGAAAGGGTAAAACTCTGTACAATGTAGGGACAGACATGAAAGGGTAAAACTCTGTACAATGTAGGGAGAGACATGAATGGTAAAACTCTGTACAATGTAGGGAGAGACATGAAAGGGTAAAACTCTGTACAATGTAGGGACAGACATGACAGTGTAAAACTCTGTACAATGTAGGGAGAGACATGAAAGTGTACAACTCTGTACAATGTAGGGACAGACATGACAGTGTAAAACTCTGTACAATGTAGGGAGAGACATGAAAGTGTAAAACTCTGTACAATGTAGGGAGAGACATGACAGGGTAAAACTCTGTACAATGTAGGGACAGACATGACAGTGTAAAACTCTGTACAATGGAGGGAGAGACATGACAGTGTAAAACTCTGTACAATGTAGGGAGAGACATGAAAGTGTACAACTCTGTACAATGTAGGGAGAGACTTGAAAGGGTAAAACTCTGTACAATGTAGGGACAGACATGAAAGGGTAAAACTCTGTACAATGTAGGGACAGACATGAAAGGGTAAAACTCTGTACAATGTTGGGAGAGACATGAATGGTAAAACTCTGTACAATGTAGGGAGAGACATGAATGGTAAAACTCTGTACAATGTAGGGACAGACATGACAGTGTAAAACTCTGTACAATGTAGGGAGAGACATGAAAGGGTAAAACTCTGTACAATGTAGGGACAGACATGACAGGGTAAAACTCTGTACAATGTAGGGAGAGACATGAAAGGGTAAAACTCTGTACAATGTAGGGACAGACATGACAGTGTAAAACTCTGTACAATGTAGGGAGAGACATGAAAGGGTAAAACTCTGTACAATGTAGGGACAGACATGAAAGGGTAAAACTCTGTACAATGTAGGGAGAGACATGAAAGGGTAAAACTCTGTACAATGTAGGGAGAGACATGAAAGGGTAAAACTCTGTACAATGTAGGGAGAGACATGAAAGTGTACAACTCTGTACAATGTAGGGACAGACATGAAAGGGTAAAACTCTGTACAATGTAGGGACGGACATGAAAGGGTAAAACTCTGTACAATGTAGGGAGAGACATGAAAGGGTAAAACTCTGTACAATGTAGGGACAGACATGAAAGGGTAAAACTCTGTACAATGTAGGGACAGACATGAAAGGGTAAAACTCTGTACAATGTAGGGACAGACATGAAAGGGTAAAACTCTGTACAATGTAGGGACAGACATGAAAGGGTAAAACTCTGTACAATGTAGGGGCAGACATGAAAGGGTAAAACTCTGTACAATGTAGGGACAGACATGAAAGGGTAAAACTCTGTACAATGTAGGGACAGACATGAAAGGGTACAACAGTATACAAATAATAACTCTTGACGAGGTCATATGCGAAAACAAGGACCCGAGGTCCCAACCCTTGCAGTGATCTGTCAGGTTCCTTGTTTTCGCATATTGACCTCGTCAAGAGTAATTATTACTTTTGTTATACTGAAATTCACTGTATATTATATGAATCCTTTAAACCATCCTCTCTTTTCATTACAGAAACTAAGCTGCAAACCGTAAAATGTTAGTGTAACAAACGCCATCTTGTTTTCATACATCATGTGACAGGTTAAAACTGATCATGTGATGAGTCAATACTCGAGGTCAGTGTCAGTCACATGATTTGGGGGTTTACCTAACCGATATTTATACCAATGCCACTGCTGTTTGATGGTACATTGTACTGACCGTCATAGACGACCGGACTCCCTGTGCCGTGCCGGAACAGCACAAAGCCGGGACTGGTGAAGGCTCCGTACGTCGCAGCAAGGGCCACGTCCGATATCTGGATCTTCTTCAGCTCTGGAACACAGGAGAAAAATAAGGAATTTGATATCCATGATCATGATGATCGCATACAGCCAAAATTAAAATAAAAAAATAAATTTAAAATTAAAATTATTCAGCTCTGGAACACATCAACAAACATCCTTCATCCAGGTATGACCGCATCAAAAGATGCAAGCCGACCATCAACGTAAAGGCTTCCTCATCAGATCAGCGCACCATCACCACATCCGCTAGAAGCACATGGTATCACATGGTATCACATGTTATTGGTACAGTAACAACCCTGTGAAGATCCGGGTTAGTACAGGTCTTCAGCAACCCATGCTTGCCATAAAAGGCGACTTATGCTTGTCACTAAGAGGCGACTAACGGGATCGGGTGATCAGGCTTGCTGACTTGGTTGATGTATGTCATTGTATCCAAATTGCGTGGATCGATTCTCATGATGTCAATCACTGGATTGTCTGGTTCATACTCGATTATTTACAGACCGCTGTCATATAGCGGGAATATTGCTGAGTGCGGCATTAAACAACTAATAAACAAACAAACATTCTGTGTTAGTCCCTGAAAGTTACATTTCCTACAGTATTAGAGAAACATTTACCATATTCGAGGTAATAAGCGCCCAGGGCGCTCTCAAAATTAGAAATAGGGGGCTCTTATTAGAATATTATTTTGGTGAAAAAATAAGAGTTGATAGATCGTAAATTTTTAAGAATTGACTTTCACTGTGTGTGAGTTCATTGGAGTATGAACCTTCATAGAGTGAGGGCCAAACTGTATGAACGTCGGAGCTTGCGACGACGTTCATACAATGTTTGGCCCTCACTCTATGAAGGTTCATACTCCAATGAACTCACACACAGTGAAAGTCAATTCTTATAATTTTTTATCACAATTTCTTGCCTCAAAGGATGTAGGCCAAGATCTAAACACAATTTTATTTAGTACGTGTGACTTCATGTTTACACTGACAGCCATACAACAACCAGCTATATCGCAGAGTAAAATAGTTCCTCAAAAAGAGAGGTGACATGAGCGTATGGATGCACAACTTGCTCTTCAGAAACATCTTACGCTGCACATGTGTTCAAATCATATCCTCATTAGAGGACTCCGAGAAAGTTTTGTAAAGAACTACCTCAGTAAGTCAGTCACCAATGACAGCGCGTCGTAATACATTTACATCAAGTACAAGACGTCAAAATGGCCGACACGACAAACGTGACGGTAGAGATTTCCGAAGTTGTTAATGAACCTGTGGCGGTTACATGTGTTACTAATCATTGATCAACTGGCCGATCATTTAAAGGTGAATAAAGATGTGTCAAACAGACACTAAGGCAAATTCATAGATTGCTTGAGACGGTCAGTGTCAGCCTAGACACGAATAGAGTCGATACTACGATAGTTTAGATGTGCATTTCTTCGTTTTTTCATTAGGATAGGCCGTAGCGAGGATATTCGTGAACAATCATGCAGTCACGCTCTCTGACATTTCTCAATGTATACTGAAACACTGAGACCAAGAATAAAGGTTCTAAATGATCAGAAAGAACGCTTATGTATGTTTTTGTGCTAGGGAATTCCAAGGGGTTTCCCCAGGAATGTGGAAGTAGTCCGTCAGTGTTTTCGTCATTTCAAGAACACGGTCTCGTGAAAAACGTATGAACGTCAAATTGTGTCGTTCATACACTTATGAACATCAATTTCGCAGTCATGTGATCGACCTCTCGTCCAATGGAAAAGCCGTATATCGTGTAAACTTTAAATTAAAAAATTATTGTGGTTTATGCTGACAATCTGAAATGTTTATATACGACAGGTATATTTTTCCAGAATTTAATTGCCCGTAATTAAGGGTGACACATAACACACGAGTGCGTATTATATGCGAATAAATAAATCTTTTGTACATTGATCAATCGGAAGGGGTGCTAATTGGGATTGTTCATTAGCCAATACGTTAGCAAATATCGCCATAGGCACTTATTAGACTGGGGCGCTTATTACGTCAAATACGGTAACTAGGGTAACAGATGGTGATGAAACTATAATCTAGGATATATTCTTTGATAAGATTCCTGATAACTGCTGTGTCAGGTATAAATATTTGCATAAATGTTTATCGCATAAATAATCAGTCCTACAGTTTTCATGATGATTAGGGAAGTAATTTCAAAATAAAAGCTATTGATAAACGAACCACATATATTGATAAAATCTGCAACAGGCACGTCTCGCATAACACATTTTCCCGTATTCAATCGGCTTGAAATACCACATTCTCTCACTCTTTTGCATATGATTACTATATAATCCATTGAGGCTGATATGGAAGCTGTACACAGATGTTCTAACACTTTATAACAGAATCAATTAAATATACATATGGGATATGTGTACTTAACAAACCTCACTTTTGACAAATACCAAATTGAAGTCCAGTGACTTTGAACTATGACAAAAGTTCACCATAAAAAGAAAGAAGTAAAACAACCGAACACGGTAGGGCTGGGCTGGGTACCCATCCACCTATCACCCGACCCTACCAGGGTACCTGCTGTAGGTCTCAAGAGATAGGTACAAAATGTCTGATTGGGAACAGTTTGACTGTAGCCCTGGACAAAATGTATTTAGATACACATATAAAACAATCTGGTCATGCATACACTGAAGTTTTAACATATAAAAATCTGGGTGCATAGTGAGAAAGAAATGTTTGTTTGTTTGTTTGTTGTTTAACGCCGAACTCAGCAGTATTCCAGCTATATGACAGCGGTCTGCAAATAATCGAGTCTGGACCAGACAATCCTGTGATTGACATCATGAGCATCTATCCACAGAATTGGGATCAATGACCTGCATCAACTAAATCAGGTAGCCTGACCACCCGATCCCGTTAGTTGCCTTTTACGACAAACAAAGTCGCTTTTTACAGCAAGCATGGTTTGCTGAAGACCTATTCTACCCCGGATCTTCACGGGTCCAGAAAGAAATGCGAACATTAGTGACTTGTAGTGTAACCATATAGTTCAAGATCATTTTTTGTCATTAAACAATATATCACATGATCAACCACGTGTCCCGGGTAGTTCTGTGGGTATCCAGGTCCTTCTCAGTACCCACCCGATCCGAGTACCAGAGTTACCCTTTCCAGCCCGAGAACACGGTCACCCATCCACCTACTCTCTGCAACTTTGATTAACTTTGCCTGATTTGTGACCTGTGCAATAAACATAGGACCTTACATACAGGGGATAGTCCTGGAGAAATTGATGAAATAATTGGTCAATAATTCGACACACGATCAATCAACAGCCTTCACATTTACCAGTAATTACCAGTTTTTTACCGGTAAAATTAGGCTTGGACCGGTAATTCATGTGACTGCCAGTGTGGACCAGCAAATAAAGTAACTCATAAATCTTAGTTGTTGAACAAAACATCAGTGATATTCATAAAAGCAACAAAGTCTTCTTGTCTGTTACCCTCAGGGTTACCCTAGGTTAAATATCCATTTGTCTCAAAATATTAAAAAAAGAGAGAGAAATTTGTGACTGAAATTTGTGTGAATGATGCTTAGATCTAACTAAGTTACTTCAGAGATGACATCTTTGCACTGAACATGATGTTGAAAGAATTAAAACCAAATAATTTGCATATGTTTTTTATTTGTTGAAAGTTGGGACTGGCAACAATTAGGGGGGACTGGTGATTTTTAGTGTTGCCAGTGCACAAGGACTGGCAGTTTCAAAAGCCAGCAGGAACGCTGAATCAAGTGATCGAGTCTGACCATACAATCCATTATATTTTCCACTTACAACACACATAGGTTGCTGAGGACCTAGCATCCCAATGGGGCATGATTTAGTAATACTGTATTCAACATAATAAAGCCCTGCTCTAATAAGCACAGATGGCGATATTTGCTAATATATTGGCTAGTGAACAATCCCAATTAGCACCCTCCCGATGGATCAATGTACACAAGACTTATTTATTCATCATTTCATGTATAATACACACTCATGTGTTATATGCATCCTTAATAATGGGCACTAAAATCCTGGAAAATTATATCTGTCGTATATAAACATTTCAGGCTGTCTGCATAAACCATGAAATTGACGATCTTTCAACTCCGTTTTTCACCAAAATAATATTCTAATAAGAGCCCCTTTTTCTAATTTTGAGAGTGCCCTAGGCGCTTATTATGTCTAATACGGTAATTAGCTCTTGCAATGGCTTACAGATAGAACACACTAGCTGCTCTTGATATGGGTGCTCTGGATATGTCATGACCAGATACTGGTCTAGTGGTAGAGCGTCCGCCCGGAGTGCGGAATGTCCGGGGTTCGATCCCCGGCCGCGTCATACCAAAAGATGTTAAAAGATGGTACTTGTTGTTACCCTGTCTGGCGCTCGGCGTTAAGGGGCTAAAACAAGTACTGGTCGGCTCGGAGTCAGTATACTGTGTCTGAGTGGGGTATCCATGTTAAACTGCGGCATGGTATCTCAGTGTGCTAGCACTATAAATTGGCATCTGTCCGGACTAGTACAAGCAGCCACACACACACACACGTGCATGCACGTCGCTATATAAGTGCAATAATCTTGGACGCAACGTTAAACCCCATTTCAACAACTCAACTCATGACCAGATAAACGTCAGCCACCAGTGTCTAAGGATATGCTTCTGAACATGTGGTCACCAAAATTTGGCCTAAAAGTTAGGAATGTCATCGTACCATGGTTAAGATGGAAAATGAAAAGAGAGAAAATTCAATTTTAAATATTTAATGGCTCAGCCCAGTTCATGTTTAGCATCACCGTATTCGACTTAATAAGCGCCTAGGGAACTCTCAATATTAGAAATAGAGGGCCCTTATTAGAATATTATTTTGGTTGAAAAAATTGAGTTGAAAGATAAATTTCGTGATTTATGCTGATGGTCTGAACTCTTTATATACAACCCATAATTAAGGGTGCATATAACACACGAGTGCGTATTATACACGAATAAATAAGTCTTGTGTACATTGATTGATCGGGAGGGATGCTAATTGGGATTGTTCACTAGCCAATATATTAGCAAATATCGCCGTGGGCGCTTATTACGTCGAATACGGTAAGTTGATAAATTGAAGGTCTAGATAGGAATTTTCAAACTACTCCCATACAGAAAAATTAACTTTGTTATCAATCAATATATCGATATATATCTTAATACATTTTAGTCAAAATATCGATACAAAAGAACTAATAGTACAATTTCCTGGCTTGGGCCATCTTCCCGAGGCAAGAGAGTCCACTAGCCTTTTTATTAAAGTTTTATTTCCACCCTTGCCACATCAAGCCCACTTTCCTCTGAAAAATATGATTGGACTATCGCACACTTTGATAGCCCAATCAGAGAACTGGTACACCTTCGTATGAAAGTGAATTGCTGCTGCCTGTTTTTGTTGACATGAGAATGCCTTTTAAACCCAACAACGATTGCCTATATTTTTGTGTCAGGGATGAAATTGTGAATGTTTTCATAATCTGATCGACAAGGTCGTCGCCTATTGCAGGGATAAATCTACCCCCGCATCCCGCGTCTATGACGCATTAAATTCTGTCAGGACCCATATTTTTTTTATATGTTCGTCCTCCAGGACGCAAGGTTTTCATGAAACACAAATGTCCTTTTTTTGTGGAAAATCAATATCAACGTTTTTAACGAAGTTTTCTTTTGTCTAAATGCGTGCATAAACAAGATTTTGGTCAATCGATTTTCCATGGAAAGTCCAGGTCTAAAAATAACTTGATACGCATGTGCGACGTTTTTCTTTAAAACGCGATAGCTGATTGGTTGTCAATAAGCAAGTGACCAATCGTAAGCAAGCTTGTATATGACTTCGGTTTCTGTTGTTGATAATTTCTCTAGCAGTCGACATGCCGCCGAGAAAGGTAGCAAAGCTGTCACATTCTCAAAAAACTTTGTCATAGATGTTTGGTCAGAATGATACAATTGAGACAAGTGAGTTTGAAGCTTCCCTGGACAAATGGAAAACTGCAAAGGAAAGACGACTGTATGAACTGAAATCCTTCAAGTAACCTTTGATTGCTCTGCCATGTTAAACATTTCTGAGACCTTTGTAACGTCACATGTTGGTGTTTGAAAATAAAAACAGTTTTGAAATATTTGTGGCATATATTTTTATTTGGGACTCATTAAAGTTTCAAAGGGACTCATATATTTCAGATTGGACTCATAAACAAATAGTCAGTTCAGTGAGTCCCAGGACACAGGTAGTTAAATTTGTAGATTTACCACTGCTATTGTAGTCGCCATCTTTGTGAAGCTACACGTGATAAGAACAGCGATCTGATCGGATATCATGTTTTCATTACAAGGGGCACAAATCGTGACCTAAGCGAGGTGGCACCATGGTCGAGCCAAGAAAAGTGGCCTTGATGTGGCAAGGGTAGAAACTAGGCTTCGATATAGGCTAGTGGACACGCTTGCCTTGGGAAGATGTAGAAACTAGGCTTTGATATAGGCTAGTGGACACGCTTGCCTTGGGAAGATGTAGAAACTAGGCTCTGATATAGGCTAGTGGACACGCTTGCCTTGGGAAGATGTAGAAACTAGGCTTCGATATAGGCTAGTGGACACGCTTGCCTTGGGAAGATGTAGAAACTAGGCTTCGATATAGGCTAGTGGACACGCTTGCCTTGGGAAGATGTAGAAACTAGGCTTCGATATAGGCTAGTGGACACGCTTACCTTGGGAAGATGTAGAAACTAGGCTTTGATATAGGCTAGTGGACACGCTTGCCTTGGGAAGATGGCCCTGGGACAAAAAATGTTTTCCTTGTTTCTCTTTAATTAATGTAAACAATAAGTAATTCCACGGGTATTGGCATAACGGCAATGAATCAACTGTACAAAGAGTGACTGAGTAAATATCACAATGAAGCTTTCTACCTGACAACACATGAGTTTGATAATTGCAGCAAACATTCACGGTCATCATGCTGAGAAATTATATTCAAAACACGAATAACAGCACATTAACAGCTGTAGCAGCAGATGTTGCAGTCAATTACTCCAGTGTTTATCTAAACCACATCTAATTAAAACTGCAGGGTGATAGGACTTGGATAGACATACAGAAATCAATAACTAAACAATGCCTAAAATTCTCCACTATGAACAGATAAAACAAATTTCACATCTGACTTCTAAGAAGAGACCTACCAAGCGCAATATACTGATATAGGTTTTAAGAAGATGACTATAAGCCAGATATATTTAAATAGTTTTTAAGAAGGTGTTATAAGTCATGATATTGATATCACTGGCAGATCTAGACGAAAAGCCAGACATATTTATATAGGTTTTAAGAAGGTGATATCAGTCCTGATTATAAGCCAAATATATATATATTGGTTTGAAGAAGGTGATATAAATCGCGATATTGATATCAATGGCAGATCTATGCTTTAAGCCAGATATATTATATAGGTTTTAAGAAGGCGATGTCAGTCTTGATAATAAGCCAAATATATTTATATTGGTTTTAAGAAGGTGATATAAATCGCGATATTGATATCAATGGCAGATCTAGACTATAAGCCAGATATATTAACATAGGTTTTAAGAAGGTGATATCAATCATGATATTGATATCTATGGCAGATCTAGATAATAAGCCAGATATATTATATAGGTTTTAAGAAGGTGATATCAGTCATGGGTTTGATATCAATGGCAGATCTAGCCTATAAGCCAGATATATTAACATAGGTTTTAAGAAGGTGATATCAGTCATGGGTTTGATATCAATGGCAGATCTAGAGAATAAGCCAGATATATTTAGATAGGTTTTAAGAAGATGATATCAGTCATGATATTGATATCAATGGCAGATCTAGACTATAAGCCAGAGATATCATATAGGTTTTAAAAAGGTAATATACATCATGATATTGATATCTATGGCAGATCTAGACTTTATAAGCCAGAGATATCATATAGGTTTTAAGAAGAAGATATCAGTCATGGGTTTGATATCAATGGCAGATCTAGACTATAAGCCAGATATGTAGTTTACAAAGGCTTTAAGAAAATTATATGGAAGTAGCCTCAGATTTTTTGTGAAGAGGTATCGCATCAGAGTAAAAGACACATATTGTGTAAGAGACTGTCATTGTCTTTTCTGCCTTACCTCCCGGGAATAACTCAGGGGTCTCTAGCTGGCTCATCGTCAGTTTGGCCTCCTCACAAGTCACGCACCCAGGCTCATCTGAAACATCCAGATGTATGGGATATATGGGAGTTTTCTGGGTGTTCTCAGACACATGGGATATACGGGAGTTTTCTGGGTGTTCTCAGGCACATGGGATGTACGGGAGTTTTCTGGGTGTTCTCAGACACATGGGATATACGGGAGTTTTCTGGGTGTTCTCAGGCACATGGGATGTACGGGAGTTTTCTGGGTGTTCTCAGACACATGGGATATACGGCAGTTTTCTGGGTGTTCTCAGGCACATGGGATGTACGGGAGTTATCTGGGTGTTCTCAGACACATGGGATATACAGGAGTTATCTGGGTGTTCTCAGGCACATGGGATATAAGGGAGTTTTCTGGGTGTTCTCAGGCACATGGGATATACGGGAGTTTTCTGGGTGTTCTCAGACACATGGGATATACAGGAGTTATCTGGGTGTTCTGAGACACATGGGATATACAGGAGTTATCTTGGTGTTCTGAGACACATGGGATATACAGGAGTTATCTGGGTGTTCTCAGACACATGGGATATCTGGGTGTTCTCAGGCAATGGGATATACGGGAGTTATCTGGGTGTTCTCAGACACATGGGATATACAGGAATTATCTGGGTGTTCTCAGACACATGGGATATACAGGAGTTATCTGGGTGTTCTCAGACACATGGGGTATACGGGAGTTATCTGGGTTTTCTCAGACACATGGGATATACGGGAGTTATCTGGGTGTTCTCAGACACATGGGATATACGGGAGTTATCTTGGTGTTCTCAGACACATGGGATATATAGGGAGTTATCTGGGTGTTCTCAGACACATGGGATAGAAGGAAGTTATCTGGGTGTTTTCAGACACATGGGATGTCACAGAGTTATCTGGGTGTTCTCAGAAATGAGATATAAGTGAGTTTACCTAGGTGTTCTCAGACACATGGGATGTCATGGAGCTATCTGGGTGTTTTTAGACACATGGGATGTCACAGAGGTATCTGGGTGTTCTCAGAAATGGGATATAAAGGAGTTATCTAGGTGTTCTCAGAAATAGGATGTCACAGAGCTATCTGGGTGTTCTCAGACACATGGGATGTCACGGAGCTATCTGGGTGTTTTAGACACATGGGATGTCCAAGAGTTATCTCGGTGTTCTCAGACATGGGATGTAAGGGAGTTATATGGGTGTTTTCAGCCACATTGGATGTCACGGAGCTATCAGGGTGTTCTCAGACACATGGGATATACAGGAGTTATCTGGGTGTTCTCAGACACATGGGATATAGGGAAGTTATCTGGGTGTTCTCAGACACATGGGATATACAGGAGTTATCTGGATGTTCTCAGACATCGGATATAGGGAAGTTATCTGGGTGTTCTCAGGCACATGAGATAAAAGGGAGTTATCTGGGTGTTCTCAGACACATGAGATAAAAGGGAGTTATCTGGGTGTTCTCAGACACATGGGATAAAAGGGAGTTATCTGGGTGTTCTCAGACACATGAGATAAAAGGGAGTTATCTGGGTGTTCTCAGACACATGGGATAAAAGGGAGTTATCTAGGTGTTCACAGACATGGGTCATATGGGAGTTATTGTTAAATGGGTGTTCTCAGACACATAACAGAGTAAGGGAGTTATCAAGGCATTGTCCATTTTGTCAGGCATATAGGATATTTAAGGGAGTGGTCATATTCCTTTTCAAAATACAGCCGACACTTAGCAGTGAATAACATGACACAGTCACCCGTTGGGATTCGAGTTAAGAACATAGGTCCTCTGCAACCTATGCATGTCGTAAGAGGTGATTGCGTGGTCATGCTGACTTGGCTGACTGCATGTCATTATTGTGACCAACTTGCATGGATCAAAGCTCATATCAGTCACTGAATTGTCTGGTCCAGACTTGATAATCATTAAGAGACTGCCACATATGTGGAATATTGCTGAGTGAGGCATAAAACATCAAACAAACAAGCATTGTTAGTCATGTCGATAGTCATTTCCACGAATAAAGTCTCGCTGAGTGTCAAATCAATACAAGCCATTATAAACAGCAGGCTACATGCTCGTATAGGGCGTCGATTTGTACACGTGGGACTTGGGAGAAATTGAACAAAAACTCTTCTACTAAAATACTCACAAAATAGAACCAGCAAGTACGGGTTGTTTCTGGCAAACGTTACAAAATTGTCTTTCGTCGCTTCTTCTACGGATGGTGGTTGTACCGGTTCTTCTGTGAATACCGGCACAATCAGTTGCAAATTCAGAAGCAATGTCCAAATCAGACAAAAATTCCTCACACGTGCTATGACCATTTTCAACACTTAGATGAAATGAAACTGTTAACACTAATTAAAACACTTGGCGAAGATAATACAAGATGCGTCTCTTCGATGTTCAGTTCCCTCTGTCGACTTTAGCAGACGATGCCACCGAAAGCTACAACGTGTTATGTTGTTGTAAATGATCGGAATCGTATAAATTGTGGAATTCGAAGTGGAAAGGGATTTTTCCGCGAGCTTTATTCACATACATGGCGATATGGTCTCAAACTAAAAATACTTTGCAAATTGACGGTGTGGTTTGAAAAAAAAATAACAACAAATTCAGATGTTTTTTGTCTGACAATGGCTGACAATTCTGGCTATAAATTTGTCGGTCCACTATCTGTTAGATTTTATTTCACCATTTTCTCCATTAATCCTTTTTTCTTATTTGTAATGAATAATATTACTTGCTTGAACTAGTGATATATGTGTTAACAAAGCTTGTTCGGTATACATAGTCTGTTCCTCCTCAAAGAAAATTGTATGTTTAAAAAAAAAAAATATTACGAGCGAAAACCCCAACATAAACACATGTGTAAATTCTAACTATACCGTCAACCACATGCCAAAGAGAGAAAATACAAACCGTTGATACTGTGTTTAGTGCCACTCAACAAGGAGATCGCATTAGTCCGTGACGTCAATCAAGTTTTAATGACTGACGTGATGAGAATTATTTTACGAGCGCTTCTAACGGTGAACTTTGGATGTTGATGACTCGATGTTATGTTTGTTTGTTGTTTAACCCCGTACTCAGCAATATTCCAGCTATATGACGGCGGCTGTAAATAATCGAGTCTGGACCAGACAATCCAGTGATTGACATCATGAGCATCGATCCACGGAATTGGGATACGATGACAAGCATCAATCAAATCAGTGAGCCTGACCACCCGATCCAGTTAGTCGCCTCTTATGACAAGCATAGTCACCTTTTACGGCAAGCATGGGTTGCTGAAGACCTATTCTACCCCGGATCTTCACGGGTCCGTGATATTTTGAGATAACGTTGAAAACAAAACAGAACGACAAGCGTAATTAATCAGTTATTGTGTCTTGTAGTGTCTTCGTGGTCCCTGTGACCACACCAATCAGCAGCAGCAACAACAAATTCTTATGTTTTTGTGTACCGATGGTTGACATTGTGTCTGGTAGTGTCTTCGTGGTCCCTGTGACCACATCGATCAGCAGCAGCAACAACAAATTCTTATGTTTTTGTTTACCGATCGTTGTAATTGTGTCTGGTAGTGTCTTCGTGGTCCCTGTGACCACACCAGTCAGCCACATGATGCTTGTAACGCATTCGTTAACACAATCGCACGTGGATGTGGAAACACTGCCAAGCAATGCTCTTTCCAACTGACACTTTTTAGTTCTGTTCTATGTTTTTGTTTGTTTGTTGTTTAACGCCGCACTCAGCAATATTCCAGCCATATGACGGCGGTCTAAATAAACGAGTCTGGACCAGACAATCCAGTGATTGACACCATAAGCATCGATCCACGCAATTGGGACCGATGACATGTTTCAACCAAGTTAGCGAGCCTGACCACCCAATCCCGTTACTCGCCTCTTATGACAAGCATGGGTTCCATGACGGTCTGGTATAACTGATCATTTTTTTGTGGCCATGATCAATGAATTTAACTTACAACGTTTGATTGTGATTTTTGTGCAAATCTTTATATGTATGTGGTAAATAAAAACCCCGCTAATGTTTCACTTTTTGAGGATATATGAATCTAACTTTTGATGTGATTTTTCTGGTTATTGTTAGCATTTATAATTTGTTCGATTATTCTTCAATGCTTTAAATACCATTAACTAATGCTGACTTCATATTTCCAACCCAATGAGATACCACACCGCAGTTAACATTGATATATCACTCAGACACAGTATACTGACTCCGAGCCGACCAGTCCTTGTTTTAGCCCCTTAATGTCGAGAGCCAGGCAGGGTAACAACAAGTACCGCCTTTTAGCGTATTTTGGTATGGTGAGATCAAGCGATATCTACATTGTAGATATCGCTGCAATGAAATTGCATCACAATGCTTTGCATTGTGACTACTTTGGTTACCATGACGTCACAATCAAATGACATCACCAATGGCCCTGCTACTAAGACACTGCCTATTTGTCTACAAACTGAAAAAGTTGGAAGAATGATGTTGGATGATAAATAAAATCTCACCCTCGTGTCTTTTGATATCAAATATATCAACACTCATTGATATTTTGATATAAAAAGACACTCGAATGAGATTCTCTATTTCCACTACGATCCATATTTTACATTTACCCAGCGTCTCGTGTAGCGAGAGTTATCAGCGATATTCACCGCTGCTGTCATTTCCGGGTTGGGTCAGGGAAATCTGTCATGAGTATGGCTGAGCGTTGTGTACAACCATAACCTTTATATAACTGCATTTTACTCCGACAGGAGACAATTATCGATAAGGTAAGTTGAGCAAGTTTTTTGTACTAATTGCTAAAGTACTTTTCACTTTTCGATTTCAAGAAACCGCATATGTACGAGGGGAAACCGATCATAGGTCGCCATTTTCGGAAGTAAGCTCAATGCGACTTGACTGACTGCGAGGAAAGGGCTTGGCAACTCGCGAGGTTAAAATAAATGTGTGAAATCTAATCATCAATCTGGAATAAGCTGTATCCAGCTATTGTTTGTTCCGTGTTGCATTGTAGAAGGATGGAAGAAAATGACAATACTAAATATTTTTTTGGGTGTGTAGGAATTCCAAGATATATTCAGGTATCCAATTACACAGAACGGTTTTTTTCGATTCATGTGTGATAAGAGTGATAGGCCCTGTGTTGTGGTCTCACAGGTTCTTTTTGTTAATGTCTGTCGATGATTGCATTAACATATCTGCACCGAAAATGTCGGGACAGATTCGTCATGATTGTGTCATCCGATTCCGTTTGGACACATGTTCCAGCGACAAGCACTGTTATTCCTTATATCAGGGTATTATGAACTAATATACACAATCATCGTTAGTTGTGATTTTGCTAGAGTCAAATGGCATGAGGAATTTTTTTATGATTGTAAGAACTTTTTGAGTTTTGACAGGACATTCTTTCACCGGTATAACCACACAAAATATGAAAAAAATTAGAACATTTTGGTTGGTTGGTTTGTTGTTTAACGCCGCACTCAGCAATATTCCAGCTATATGACGGCGGTCTGTAAATAATCGAGTCTCGACCAGACAATCCAGTGATTAATATCATGAGCATCGATCCACGCAATTGGGATTGATGACATGCATCAACCAAGTCAGCAAGCCTGACCACCCGATTCCGTTAGTCGCCTTTTACGGCAAGCATAGTCACCTTTTATGGCAAGCATGGTTGCTGAAGACCTATTCTACCCCGGAATCTTCACGGGTCAGAACATTTTGGATGACAGTGATTCTGTGTCCTGTAGCTGAAACTGAACATTCTGCTATTTACTCTTGTGATGCAGATTCATTTTCAACCAAATGTGAAGAACATCCTTAACTATGTTAACATGTTTATATATTATGGCAAATTATCCTATCACATTGCCCATTACAATCAATTCACTTGTCATGCTAGTAGTCCCTGTGTTGGGAAGCAGGAGTGGGGTGTGTGCCTTGAGGCCTGTGGTATTTTGATAAAGGCCTCTTTAAAGGGCAACAATACTCCAACACTCAGTCGTCGCTTAATTAGTCCACGCTATCCCCAGATATGCTATTAAGCTCAGAACACAAGTCAAACCATTTGTGGTTATAGTCCGTAATCAGCTTAATTCCGCAAAGAAAAAAACCATCAATATTTCCATACTTTCAAAGTTGGAGTGTTGTTGCCGTTTAAAGTTGACTTTTAGATTTATGATAGGGAGCCCTTACTTTTTGTCCCCAGTCATCGGGTGAAACAGGGACCTTAGTATAAGATTTCCTCCAACTGTCCATATGTCCCATAGCTGTTGTTAGAGAATGAAGAAGTAAAGATCATCTTCATGGAATCCGTTCTAATTTAGTGCGTTTGCAGACCCTAGTTGATAATGATGACCTTGACATAGGTTTCAAGGTCAAGGGAAAGCATTTGACTGATTTTCTGTTATTGTTAACAAGATATCATCAGAACCTTTTAATGGCTTCGGTTCAAATTTGGTGCCAAGGTGTCTTAAGGGTGTTTGCAGACCAAATTGATAATGATGACCTTGACCTTATTTCAAGGTCATAGACACATGTTGGTCAATTTGCTGTTTGCTAACATCACAGACTACTTCCTCGACTGGGTGACGTAATCACAATAATGTATTTGTTCTGTAAGTAAAAGGCTTTGAAACTAATGGATTATTGTCATTGGAGCTAGTTGTTTATTCCTGATGATGATGATGTATTTGTTCTGTAAGTAAAGGGTTTTGAAACTAATGGATTATTGTCATTGGAGCTAGTTGTTTATTCCTGATGATGATGATGATGATGAATATTTTGCTTAGCTCTTGTGTTATCTCTCTAGTATTGATCTTTAGCAACCCATGCTTGTCGTAATAGGTTCCTAATGGGATCAGATATCTGTCTTGGTTGTCATTATATCCCAATTGTGTGGATTGATGCTCATGATGTCAATCACTGGGTTGTCTGGTCCAGACTCGATTATTTAGATAGGGCTGTCATACAGCAATGAATGGCATATTGCTTGGTGCAGTGTTTAACAACCAACCAAGTGGGTTATCCAAATGATAAAAGTGCCGGACATTTCTGATTTATTTTATGTGTTTCAGTGGTGACTAGGTACAGTTTTATTGGTATTACTTCATACTGTATCCATCACAGACGACCCGTGAAGATCCGGGGTAAAATAGGTCTTCAGCAACCATGCTTGCCGTAAAAGGTGACTATGCTTGTCGTAAAAGGCGACTAACGGATTGCGTGGATTGATGCTCATGATATTAATCTCTGGATTGTCTGGTCCAGACTCGAGTATTTACAGACCGCCGTCATATAGCTGGAATATTGCTGAGTGCGGCGTAAAACAACAAACTAACCAACCAAATCCATCACAGACCAAAATATTATTTCTTTCATTAAACATGTACAATGTATCAAGTAGACAGTACTAGTACAGAGGAACACTATCCATCGTAACAAAGTATTTTATCCTGTTTGTCTCAGTGGATCTGGCCACAATAGTGACAAAAAGTAAAAAAAATCTCTTGCTTTATAGAACAGACATAGTAGTGCTTAATTGTGTTGAGTCAAACTTGCTGAGTCTGCCAGTTTCATGAGCCTAATAGTTTGTAGTATATATATATGTACATGTATACATACACTGCTTACACTTCACTTAACGAAGGAGCAATGTTGAATCATTATGATGAAGTAGGTCCTTAGTCCTCTTCAGGAAAGTAGTAGGACTTGAGTTGTACTATTCCCCTTACAACAAATGTCATCTTTTTTTCATACCATTTCGTTACCGCATGTCATCGTATCCCAATTGGTTAGATCAATGCTCAGACCTGTGAAGAGCCGGAGTAGAATACATCTTCAGCAACCCATGCTTGTCGTAAAAGGCGACTATGCTTGTTTTAAGAGGCAACTGATGGGATAGAGTGAGCAGGCGCGCTGTTAGACTAACATTTAGTCTCTGAAATCTTGTATTACACAATATCCTTCTTGACTATAAAAATATAAAAAAATTCCCTATGCTTTGGAATAGAGCTAGCTTGAGCTGGCTAGACTTGCTTTTGTATGCATTTCTAGATTATTATTTTTTCATAAAATAAATATATTCCACGGTCATAGCTCGCTGTCTTTGTTGATGTATGTCATCGCATCCCGATCGGTTATGAGTGATCGTGCAGTGGTTTTGAATTATCAAAAGTGCAAATGCTCTCATCTTTATCATGTTAATTCTGTTTGTAATGAACAGGAAGTAAATGGAAGGACTTCCACATCACTGTTGCTGACAGCCTCAGTGTTAGCAGTTGGCATGGGATGAAACTCAGGCCACACACATTTTTTATTATTCATTTCATGGCCCGTTCCCCAAAATGAAAAGCAGCCGGAAAAGAAAGAAATTTAACATAAAAATAATTATTTTGATTGTGTCTCCCATTTGTAATATAATATCATGAATAATCTCAATGAAAAATGTAATACATAAATTCCATGTCTACATCACCATGATCACTACCAGTGATTCAAGGAGCCAGCGGAGGTTTAAACTCCACTGCAGAATGATTTTCATATAAATAAATAAATGATTGACTTGACAATTTATTTTTATTTTAATTTCGACTGACCGTGTGTGGAAAAGCTGTAATAAATCCTTGAAACATCCTGTGATGTACATTCGACTATAGACTAACATCTAGTCTCTGAAATGAACTAATTTACAGAAAAAAAGCAGTTGTTAAATTATAGTTATGATATATAATAAAAAAGAGCCCACAGACTTCCTTCATGTTCCAGATACTGCAGATATCTAGACTTGCCAAATATTATAGACTTGCATGGGCTGTATTGGATATATTTGTGTCAGGGTCTGTATGACAGACTAATTCGACTACTAGAGCAGCAGCTCCCTGGAAGTCCAGGACTCTAGTAATAATGTTAATGTCACTGCATGTCTATATACAACAGAATCAGTTTGGTGGTTGTGGGGTAGCTTAGTGGTTGGAGCTTTCGCTTTTCAAGCTGAAGGCCTGGGTTTGATTCCCGACATGAGTATTCAAGTCAAAGACGTTTATTGTATCAAAGGCCATCGGCCCATATACAAGTTCAGATAAATACAGTGGGTGAGAATTTACAGATTGGGAGATACAACAAAAATTATAAAAATATAACATTCATTTAACAATCGGTGATAATCATGAGGACTTTCTAGGGTAAGGTGATTAAAATTCTGAATTTCCGCTCAACATGCTCAACATGTTATTTCGTAGTTCCATCCCATGTTTTACAAATAAAGACAGTTTAAACATTACATTGGCATCATTCGATGTGAAGCCCAATTGCTGGAATATTGCAAAAAGTGGCGTAAAACCACACTCACTTGCTCAATCTCAGCCACTCACTCACTCGATCACCCAAACCTGCCTAATCTCGTCAGGCCCTGGACCTTGATGGTGTGTATGTCATCGTAACCTGATTGCGTGGATTGTATCTTGTCCTTTCAGTCACCGATTTCCTGCAGTGATATTGCTGGAATATTACTATTGTGGAGTGAAACCATAATCAATCTCTCACTTAGTCGAGGTTGGCACCTGTTTAAAGAGGCCCGACACCTATTTGAGGAAATACGGTATGTTCTGTGCGGAGTCCATGTTTGAGAAGGGGATCAGACGTGGCGGCCATCTTGGAGACGTTCCACAGCACTGCATGTTCGACTTAATCAAGTCCTGAGACTTGTCTGATTGTGTTTGACTTAATCAAGTCCTGAGACTTGTCTGATTGTGTTTGACTT